CCCTCTTATCATGGTGTCGCAGTGCAGATGTCTACTCCACCACATCACTGATGTGGGAGGCAATTTTCTGCTTAGATTAGGGTTAGGGAGTCTTCTGCTTCTGACCTGCCTGTTTTTCTTGTAACTTGAAATACGCTCTTCTGGGCTGCAGAATCTGTGATGTACTTGAGCAAATCAATGGGGTTGACTGAGGTCCTGTAACAATTTGCCTGTCCTGTGGTTGTTTTTTCTGGCCATGTTGGGAAGCCATGAGAAAAGAGCAGGAAGCAACTTTTTGAACAAATAGATTGTTCTCATGATATAGGCTGGCCACCAGTACTATAGCAGTGTGACAAAAAGGTGGATAGGAACAGGTGAACAGAAGTTGTTCTGCCAGTGTGAAAGGGGTAGAGGGAATCTTCTGGGGTATTACAAGGGTCTGTATTTACCCAACTGACAGTAACATACCAGTAGTTTCTACTAGACCACCTAAAGCATGCAGTTTGCATATTTAAGGCTGATGACTCTTCTTCCTCTCTGTTCCTACTAGCTGTTAAAATCAATTTGGCTATTTGACAAGACTCTTCATAATAATCACTAATCTCTTGGAGCAGTTACTCAGTAGTTTGGTTTACGAAGATGATGTGAGAGTGACATATTGAGAGATGCACTTCAGTGACAAGGGATACTGAAGTGGAGCGGCAGTCTTTGAGAGGTCTGGTTCTCTTCTGCAATATGTTCTTCAGGCACAGGACTAAAGAGCTTATGCATGACTGCCTGAATGGTGTGTACTGCCTACCTTCTTAAAATGGAGTATTGTGCAATATATCACATACACAATGGTTTGGGTTGGAAGAAACCTTAAAGCTTGTCCAGTTCCAATCCTGTGCCATGGGCAGGGACACCGTCCACTAGACCAGGTTGTTTAGAACCTCGTCCAGTTTGGTCTTGAACACTGCCAGGATGGGACAGCCACAGCTTCTCTGGGCAACCTGTGCCAGAGCCTCACCACCCTCACAGCAGAGAACTTCTTAGAATCTAAATCTCCCCTATTTCAGTTTAAAACTATTCCCCCTTGTCCTGTCACTACTTACTCTTATAAAAAGTCCCTCTGCAGCTTTCTTGTAGGCCCTCTTTAGGTACTCCAATGCTCTAAGGTGTGTGTATCCTTGAGATTCCTTAGGGTGCAGTATTAACAAAAAGCATTCAGGCAGAATCAGAAAAGTGATCTGGATCAAAAAAGTGGGTAAACCATTAGATATGGCTTTGGGTTGAAGTTGGGAGGGCATGTTTTGGTTTTAATAATTTGTGATGTATTGTGGCCTTGACTATGCTGGTTTGCCAGATCTGTCCCTTATCCAGCAAGAAGTGGATGCTCTAGAAGAGCTTAGTCGGCAGCTTTTTCTGGAAACTGCTGACTTGCATGCAACAAAGGTACATGGCAAAGAACTGCCCAGAAGTAGTTTGAAAGAAAACGTATGTTACAAGAAATTGAAAGGTGTAGTTAAATGTTGAAATACTGTGATGTGGTGAAGTAAAGATCTGTTTCATTAATTTGGGGTCTAGATGGCAGTTTCCTTCCAGTTCAGGTACATACTTGACTGTGCCCTGTGTCCCTAAAGCCAATCAGAAACTTCTGAATTAAAACTTTTGAGTTCAGAAACATTTGAAGTAAGAGATATAGAGGAATGAAGCTGTTTACTGCGGTTGGTGCTCCATTAACATTTTATGTTGTGGGGGATTGTGGAAATGATATTTATTTTGTGTGTTCTGTTCCCCCCTCCCTCCTTTTGTATTTCCAGGAGAGAATAGAGTACTCCAAAACTTTCCAGGGAAAATACTTCAATTTTTTGGGTTATTTTTTCTCCATCTATTGTGTCTGGAAAATCTTCATGGTATGAAAATGTTTTATTTATCACACCCTGCATAGGTTATATTATACATGGAGTTCTTCAAGTAATGCTCCAGTTAGCTTAAGATCCTGCTTCTGGGGAACGAAACTGGCTCTTGGTTGAAATAAAGCTCTGGATCGGTCTTTTTGTACAGCGCATTAGACAAGCAATTCTTACATGTGTGTATTTTGCACCTTCTTAGCCAATCTGCCTGCTCCCTGCCCTTTTCCTTGGTGATGCCAAGTAAAAGTCACGAATGTGTCTCACGTGTAGGAGTGAGGTATGCTTTTGTCTTCTTGTTTCAATGTAAATCCATCTCTCTTGCAGGCAACCATCAATATTGTATTTGACCGTGTGGGGAAGACTGATCCAGTCACAAGAGGAATTGAGATCACTGTAAATTATCTGGGAATCCAATTTGACGTGAGACTTTATTAATTCTTACAGCCTTTTCAGTGATTCCTATCTTACGTAAACAAAATTATAGTGCTGATAGGGAGAGAGAAAGAAAACCCTGAGAACATCTTGACTTCTGGCTTGGTGAGAAGGAAGGGAAAATGCACCATGAATTTCACTTTCATGTGAATTTTATACTGGGATGGTAATGTGGTCTTGCCAGGGAGGCAGTGATTTACTTGTTTGTTTTGGGCAAGTGGAAACACGTTAATCAACTTGCTTAGAGTAATACATTTAGCTACAGAATAATTACGTTTGCTCATGCACACAGGTGTTCTGTCATTTACACTTTTTAAATATATCCCTGTGAATGCAAGGTTCTTTGTGATTGGTGTAAGATAAATTTGTTTTTCTGTTTGGACTAAGCAATTGCTAATATATTTGTGAAAATGTCTGATAAACCTGTTTACAGTGGAGATCTGTACAATTGGGAAATACAAAACCCCTGAAGAATCGACAGCTATACAATGTGGTGTAAATGGAGTTAGCATTAGAGATTTAACTGTATTATTCTTGTTGATACAGGTGAAATTCTGGTCTCAGCACATTTCCTTTATTCTCGTTGGAATAATCATTGTTACTTCTATCAGAGGATTGTTAATCACACTTACAAAGGTAAGAGCCAGGACTCATATGTTGTTTTGGCCCAGGAAGGCTGTTATCAGATCTTGAACTATTTAGACAAATAGTGCATGAACCTTTTATACACATTTGTGTTTTAAATATCTGAATATAAATACTTGCAGAGTGGGGAAGGGAGGAAAAACACCTTAATACCTTCTGCAGTATGTTTCCTCATTCAGTCTCTGTTGCTGTTACTGTCAGGTATAGATGTAGATGCTGAATGAGATGTTAATGTAAGCAAGGGTTCAAAATGGTGCTGTAGCCAGGGCTTAGGAGTAAGGTTGATCAGATAGTGATTAAAAGAATTTAGATTGGTTCGTGTGAGCTGCTGGTAGAACTGGAAGGGCATTAGCTCAAGAGACATGTGACTTAATGTCTTGACCTGGCTTTTGGTACCTCAGCTTAAACTTCAGTATATATTTTCATATGACTTCTACCACGTGGTGCCACTGGCTTAGGCAAAGTCACATTAAAGACTAAGAATGCAGGTTTCTGGAAGTATGGTACAGGCACCCTTCCAGAAAATATGATTTTTATTGTTTTTAAATGAAAAAGTATTGAATAGTATGGTACTTTTATGCCGTCCTAAAGCACATCAGAGTTGTCTGACTGCTATTTCCAGTGTATCTGTTTTTTTTTTATTTCTCCCCTAGTTCTTCTATGCCATTTCCAGCAGCAAGTCCTCCAATGTTATTGTTCTGCTTTTAGCACAGATAATGGTGAGTATGTAAAACCTATCTACATGCATGCATATTTGTGTGTGTGTACGTATAATAAAGTCTTTGTATGCTGACCCATGTTAGCCATATAGCCAGTTGTGAAACAGTAACTGCTTTCTGGTATTTAATTTGCAGGGTATGTACTTTGTGTCATCAGTGCTCCTGATCCGGATGAGTATGCCTCTGGAGTATCGCACTATTATCACTGAAGTCCTGGGAGAGCTCCAGTTCAACTTTTATCATCGTTGGTTTGATGTGATATTCCTAGTTAGTGCACTGTCCAGTATCCTGTTTCTCTATCTAGCACACAAACAAGCTCCAGAAAAGCACATGGCTCTCTAAGAAAGGACTGCAGTCACACACTGCTTTCTGTTCTTTGAACTGCACTACTGCAACTTCTGTGGACTGCAAAACTTGAAGGGAGCCAGGGCGATGCTGTGTATTCCAGCAGTGCTCTTTGAACTTCCACGTCATCATCAAGTTCTGTGGCTCATTTTATGAAGATGCCACAACTTGAAGGGAAGGGAATGCACATACTGAATGTGAGATTGTTCATTGCCAAGGAATAAGGGCACACCAGTAACACTGGGTACACCGGTAACTAGGGGCATCAGAACTTGCATAGCAGATTGGCTAAGATAAGGCCTCTTACAGTCAGAAGAGCGTTTTCATAGAAGGCACCAAGGAAATGTGATTTTATTTTTGAAAATCAACTTATAATTGGGGTTCAGAGGATGGTAATTCTGGAGTTTGATGTTTGGATCTGTGGAATTAAATAAGCTTTTGTAATATGTCACACAAGCGTCCCAGTTGTTTTTTGTCATCTCCAAAGATCTGGCTGGAAGTGAACTAGAAAGTGGCTAGGATTTGTTGCCTGGCAGAAGTGAAGTGGAGAGAAATGTCACTCCGTTTCTGTATGTAGTGTATGCACCTGTGTATCATTGGTTCTGCTATTCTTGGGAGCTGGAGATTAGCTTTCTATTGCTGAGACTCAGCTTTGTTTTCTCTCCATGTGTAAATGGAACTGAGGTTTTGGATTCCTCTTTGCTGGAGTTCAGTGTGAAGCCAAAGACCACAGCTATGCCTTGTTTACCTTACGTGTTACAAATTTGTTTCCTTATAGTCTGTAAATCTGATGTTCTCCACGGCCTGTGTATTCTTCTACAGTAGCCTATTTCCACTTCTTGATGTCATTCAAGGCTTAAAAGTAAATTTTATTCATATGACTTAAACTTGTAGCTTTCCATAGCTGCTCTCCTAGGCTTTCTTTGTTTAAAAATTGTTCTGGAACATAAATCATAGGTAATAAGGATAAGATTGGGGGAGGGGGTGTGGGTGCTAATAGGCACTCTAAACAATTTATTTATGGGTTGTTTTCAGTGTACAGCAAAGAGAGTATACAGCAGCAGTATTACAAAGCCATTTATGTCGTGTTCAAGACAATGTGGTGTTTACTTTGAGTTAAATAATATGCATGAGTGAATTATGTATGCTGTTCTAACTACCATGATCCACAACTGCATGCAGTGGAGAAAGAATAGTGCTTAAATATCTTGATTTATGAATTACGAGGTTAGCTTAATGTTTGCAAGACATTTTTGTGATGTTACCAGGAGAAAGGAGTGTAATGCAGAGAGTACACTGGCTTATGCCACTTCACAGCAGTTGTACAGCAGTAAGTATAGCATAGAAGAGTTGCCACAGAGCTTGAGCTGGCGGACTTGCATTAGGGGGAGAACTTCCTCTCCTGGGAGATGGGGAGAAATCAATTGCTCTTTATTAAGAGCTTATCCTTAAAAGGCTAAGATGCTTACGAATAGAAAGCATTTCTGCCTTCTGCTGCACTATACTTAATTATATATATAAAGTTATTTAAGCCTTTACAGAAGGAAGTGACTAACTGCCCACCTTACAAGGCAGAAAGCAATGAAGTACAATTGCAGTGTGTTAAATGAATGCAATTTACACTGAAATGTTTACTTAAGGCAGCTGGATTTCAGCAAGAGATTGCAGTCCTTTACAGGACTTTTTGTTCTTGGCATAGTTTGTTTCCTCACAACTTCGTGTCGTCACTGTTGTCACTGTCTGCTCTTGTAGAGGCAGCTGATTGTGAAGAGGAGGATGAGCTTGCCTGTAGAAGAGTAACAAATACGTTCTGATTATTTGCAGTTCGAAAACATGCTTGATATGGGTTATGAAGGACTCCTATTAAGGGTCATGAAGGACTCCTGTTTTCATCTGCACTAATCATGTACTTATTTGGATGGCAGAATGAGCCAACAAAAGTGATATTTTTTGTTGTTGAAGCGCTTTTTGGTTAATTATGCTTAGAGAGAAATTTATTCAATAGAGATTTCCTACTATTCCCCTCGCTGCTGAATTTGCACACAAAAGTGTTGTTAACCTTCTTTCTGCTGCACAGTGCAGCTTGGTGGCTGAAACTTTTACACAAACTTGGCAGCTGGACATTTTCAGACAAGGCTAACGAAAAATGGACAGGAGGCAGCATCGGTCTTACTCTTCCTTGTCTGTCTCCTTTGAATGATCAGAAAAGAATATTTAAATGTTTTAAGGCTGACCACACAGAGGATTCAAAATGACTGTTTCAAGAAGAAATACCTTCCCGCTTTTCTGACTTGTCATGCTTCATATTCTTTCTAACGGCATGAAGTGAGTAAAATAAATCAGCGCATTTCCTAGAAAATGCCATCGTACCCTATCAGTTGCTCTTTCCTCTACAAAAGGTTCTGACATATTTCACCTGATTTTCCCAAAAGTGGTTTATGCTTTTCTTGTGTATTTAAGAACTTTTTCCCCCTGCATGTTCAGGATTGTATTGCCTGTTTCCCATCTTCATCAAGGATTAGTGTATTTGGATTATCTTGTTCCATAAAACCTTTTGTATGTGCATTCTTTCTGTGATTTAATTTTGCATTAAAGATACTCACCTGTATTATGTGTGGGGAAAGGAAGAGTTGTTTATGATAATCAGACTACAGCTTCCCTTGTAATAACATGGACTGATTTGTAATAATCCAGGCTCAAGTTAAAAATCCTAGCACAGGAATACGAGTTTTTTTCCTGTTCCCTAGGTGATTTCTCAACATCTACTTAAAGCAGTATTACTCACCCTTTCCCTTGGCTCAGATGAGTTTCTCTCTGGTTCTGATGGATGGTTTTCTGTGTAAGCAGGAGGTTCAGAAGTGTCATAGACTGGATCTGCCATAGAGGCTGTGATGGGAATGTTCTGGTCCTGGAAGTATTTGTAAGCATCTTTGCTGCACACCAGTAGTGTTAGTCTGTCACCGCTATCTTGGATTCTTTCCACCACTTTGTCATAGGATTCATTCATCACATTCACGCTGTTCACTTCCACCAAGAAGTCGTTATTTTCCACACCTGCTGTGTCAGCTGGTCCGTGTTTTTTTACCTGCAAAGGCAAGTTCAAACTAATACTAGCATAAAACTTGGAAAGATGCATTAACAACTGATGGTTAGTGAGGATATTGTGTTACTATTTTCCTTACAAGACAACAAAATACAAAATGTTTATGCTTTCTTTACAAGACAGCAGAATAAACATGGGGAAGATTTGTGGGGCAGAAATGAATTGGGACAGACAATAGGCCTAGGCATGATAAACATGGAATCTGCCAGTTTGGGACTTAAGATACATCTTGATTTTGATAGACTTGTAGAAATGTGGCATGGTGGAATCATGGACAGGTGGAAAACCAGTTTTCTTAAGTCCCTATCCAGTAACTTTAAAGTTAACTTTACTATATTGAAGTTACAGTAAGGTTACCTCTATTATATATCATATCCTTATTACATATCCTTAGTAATGATTGGAACACCTTCTCTCAAGAAAGCTAAAGGCACAGATGTGATTTGTTTGGGGTTCTACTTTTGCCAGCTGTGGAATTCAACAAAGAGTGGGTAGAGCACGGTGAACGTGTCTCACGCTCAGGACATTCTACAGGCAAAAAAAAAAAAATTATTTAAAATACCAATTTTAGCATGCTGGTCTCATGAATAAAAGCAAAAATGATGCAAAAGCTGCATTTCCCTTTTGTCTAGACATCTAACAGCTTATTTTTTTTATCTTGGTCCTACAGTGTCAGTCTGACTAACAGTTACAGCTTTTATCTGAGTGTGCTGGAGAAGAGACTTGTCTTGTGCGGCTTTTCCTGAAGGCATTTGCAGGACCGAAGGGAGGAAGTTGGCTGACAGACTACTTGGGCCTTTTCTTGTTACTCATTCTACATTAGTACCTCATTGATGAACAGTCCAGGCTTGTTCTTAATCATGTTTAAACTGAAGCCAAATCCACTAGGCCCTTTCACCATCTTGCAAATTCTTGGCTTGTGGTTCACATTCTGCTCAGTGTGCAACTCCGCTCTTTCCTCCATTTTAGCTGGAGTTGGATCTTGTGCTTTGTAGTAGTAAGAGAAAGGGGAAATCTGAGCCTGAAAAAAAGTCACAAGTAAAAAGGCACAAATAAAACTTTGTGAAATCTGTGTGAGGCTTCATGATCAAAATGATTTGTTTGAAACTTTTTTAATGACTAAGACTTGAGCTGCAGTGAAGAGCTCTTTGTTAGTAATTTCTGGCTGAGTGGAAAATGACAGTGTTGATCTATGTGAGAAAGGAATTTTGTTACTCATTTTGTTCATAAATGGTTAACAGCCACATTGCTCTAAATTTGCTGTTTCAAACTTCTAACCTTTCTTGTGGTGTGATTTGTTCTAGCAGTGACTAAAAACCTGGAAGACGCCAAAAATTTGGGTGTTTTGTGACTTGCTGTATGAGTGCAAGGAGAGTTGCTGTCATATGGGTGTATCTTAAATGTTTCCCACCAGTTGAAGCGTCTGTCAGAGCAGACTGGCTGTTTTATTGCTGCATATGTCTCTTCCTACTGATAAATTATCATTTCTAAGTAGTAGTTTGCATTTTCTTACCAGTTTATACATGGCATCAGTCTCCTTATCCACTACCAACAGTGTGGTTTTTGCTTCAGACTGCTTAATTTTTCCCACTACATTTTCATGGTCCAGACCACGCACCAGCTCTCCATCGACAGCTACTAAGATATCATTGTCTTTGAGACCCGCTGTGGCTGCTGGGCTCTCAGCATCAACATCCTTGATTACATGATCTAAGATTGGAAGGGAGAAAAACTTGATGTGAAGGCTGGTAAGTTAAAAGACATTAAAATGCATGGAAAACCTGATTGTCAGAATTGTATGGTCGAGACCATTTACCCTCGTGCAAGTCTGTCTGCAACATGTCTGTAGAGGACTTCTAGATGACCAGTGAGAAGCCAAAAGAGAGTGAGGTCTGCAAACCTGATACCAGAAGCAGCTCTATAGCAAATGTCATGGTCTGTGTGTTAACTCGGTTCTTACCACCAGTATTTTGTTCCATCCGCAGGTAAAAGCCATAACCATTTTCTCCTGTCTGGATCTCAATAAGTCGTGGTTTGAGGGGAAGCAATCTCAGGCTGGCACTCTCTTTGCTCAGTACCATCTTCTGGCTCTTGTAATAGTGGTCTGTTTCTTCATTTGAAAGTAGAAACATAACACGATTCTCAGACTTCTTTACCTGTGATAGTACACAATGCAGTCTTGGATGTCACCACTTCAACAGTACGTGGGAATTGTAGATACTTTGGTAGCTGGTGTACTGATACATAGTGATGTGTGGGTGCTGTTGATGAATGAGCCATAAGGCGTAGGCCATGGTACCGTAAGTTGACTACCCCTCACTCCCCATCCAGTCAGAAATTTGGGCCAAGATAAGATCTTGGGTATATAAGATCTAGTACATATATGAAGAAATATTACGAATCTCATACTGTGTTCCTGACCTTTAGGGAATTAGCTGTAGAGTGCCAAGAGTGTGGCATACAGTACCAGCAAGAATCCAGTGAGCCTCAGTAGATAATGCTTGGCTTATCTAGATATGGAACCCTACAATATAGACATATTGTGCCATCTATATGCCTATTATAGTTTACAGTGACAAGAGTCAAGTTTCTGTCACTCTTCCATCTCCCTGTATTAACTGATTCTGAGTGTTTTCTTGTTTGTTCAGCGTCTCGGAGTTCATCCTTCTCTTATTCCTTTATAGTCTAAAGGATGCTCTTTTAAACTCATCTTAACCAGCATCACTCTGCTGCTGCTGTTACAGTAGCTCAATAAAACACGGGTGTTGCACAGTTCCATAGTTAGTAGCATGAATTGGACTGTGATGTTGGAATTCTGGAGCATGTACTGCCTATCTCATGGCTCTCTGAAATCTCTTCAGCTCCAGCTGTGTTTCAGCAGTGCCAACAGTGGAAGTTGGAAGCCTCATTAGCAATATTCTTTGCAGCTGAGGCCAGGTAGTGAAATTACATGCACAGTAGTTTTCATTAGTTTTGTACTTCTTAACAGGAGAAAGGAACTACTGTCTAAAAGAATGAGTTTTCCCTGTTCCGTGCTGACTGTATCATCAGAGAGTTCCCCCTCTTCCTGCCCTGGAAACCACATTTGATGACTTGCCCTCTACTGTTATGAGTATTTCCAGGACTTTTAGGAGCAGAGCATGATTTATTTAATAGTGTTCCTGGCAGTGGCACTCTTCTGTTATTTAAAATTCTTTGCCCTGTCCTGATGGCTTTATTTATTCAGAGTCAGTTCAAGAGGCTGCTTGACAACAGAGCCAAAGCAGAGGGGGTACTCTGCTGTGTTGACGATACATGAGCAGTAGCTTCCAGGATTTACTGTGAAGCATTCAAATCAGCCAGACCTGCCTCTTCAATAACCCTAATGGGTTGCTGTGAAAGTGGGCCAGAACAGAAGATGAATCAGTGTACAAATACCTTTTCCACCACTTCCTCATGTGTGTCATTTTCCACATTTTTTCCATTGATTTCAATCAGGCGATCGTTATTTTGGACACCAGCCTTTGCAGCTGCTCCTTGTGATGAAAGCTCTACTATGAACAACCCCTTCTGTCCTAAAATAAATGAAAGCTCATTACGCAGGGCAAGTTGCTGACATATGCTTGAATTTAATGGTTAAGGAAACTCGGTACTGATGACCTTAGAGACTCCTGGACTCTGCTTACATGCAGATTACAGTGACACCACAAATCTTAGACATACCTCCATCTCTCTTATTCTGTCCTGAAAAAATCACTTCTGTGGGGGTGGGAGGCATTTGTTCACTATCTGCAGCTCAAACAATCTTTCATTTATCAAGAGTGCTAAAGGGGAGCACTGGATTTGATTCTCACCTCCTCCCCCTCCCAGTTTGAAGTGAGGAGCTGCTTTTGGTGTTGTTTTATACATTTCACAATTTACTGTGTTTGAAAGGCTTACTTGTTTGGTCTTTCAGTTATATTACATTTTGAAATATCCTCTGTAGAGGTGATGCTCTCCAGAAGACTTCCCTATTCTGTTAACTGGCCTTGGAAGAAAGGCATATGTGAAGGAGGCTCAAAATCCCTTGCTTTCTAAATGAAATAACTTACAAATTGGAAATGTGTTTATTACAGCTGTCTAGAACTTTGTCTGCTGGTACCTGAGGTTAGTTGAAGGAATAGAACAGTACTTGATGTAGCATCTTGAGCGTATATCTGGTATTTAATCAGGGACTGCAAATTTTATTTTGGTGTGTGGGCTTGGATAACAAGCAGACAATAGCTTATTCTTTTTATCTCTTCCCTCTACTCCCCCATCTTTTCTCCACCCCGTAAGAAATGTGGTCCTTGGAAAACCGTGCACTGCATATGCTGTGCAGAAAGGGGCTAGTGGTAGACCTGACCTCATCATGCTTCTCACTTTCTGTCAGCAAGAGCAGTTTGTGTATCCACATTGGCCTCCACGTTAACTGTGGGTGCCTCTGTCCCTGCTTGCTGTCTCTCTCTATACACACCATCTCTTCTCACCAGGCTCTCACCTTCTGTGGTTTTCAGAGAGAAGCCATAGCCTTTCTCTTCCTTCACTAGGTAGCAGAGTCGGGGTTGTGGAACTGCGGTGATTGCTCCATTGACCATGGATGGTGGGGACTGCTGCTCCTGTTGCTGTCCTGTTGACACTTTTTGACCAAGCTCTTCCAAGTTTAGTCCTTCCTTTTCAGCCTTTTGATAGGACGCATCATCCAGAACAAGTAGTACAACAGAATTCCCGCTGTTTTTGACAATCTCCACCACCTGTAGTGGGCAAGGCAAGCATGTGCTAGAGCAATTGACCTTAAAACATTCCCCAGGAAGACTTGCACCATCTATTGTTTTTGTTGTCTCATCCCTGTGCTTATGCACTGTGGAGGCACCTCAAAGACATTTCATGCCCATGGTGGGTAATGAATACTGTGGGGAGATTCTCAGAGCAGTTGACTTGGCTTTTGGATTTCCTAGCTGAAGATGTCATAACTGGAATAGAAAGCTTCACATAGTGGTATTGGTTCTGGGTAACGGGGAAGTGGTGTGGGTACAGGGCTAAACAGAGAAGTACCTGTGCATGTTCTTGCTTGTCTACAAACACACCATTAACTCTGAGGACTCTGTCTCCATCCTTCAAGCCAGCCTTTTCAGCTGGGCTGTTCTTTGCCACGTTCCGGATGAGATGTCCTGCTGTGTCTTTCTCAACACGCAGGTAGAATCCGTAAGTCTTTTGGGGTGTTTTGGTCACTTTACATTCTCGGGGCTGGAGAACAGAAATCATCTCTAGCAGACAGGATGGAAAAGGCATGTGTCAGTAAGAATAGTAAGCTTACCTAGTTGTGCTCACTCTGTATACATACAGAGAGTTTGCTTCAGAATTCTTGGGTTTTTGCTTCCTGGGAAATCCTGCTGTGCAAAGCTGAAGCTAGTTAACAAGGACAGGGAGAAAAAAAACAATCCCCTTTCCCCTCCTCGCTTTTCTTGTCTCCCAATCTCAAATGAAGTTGAGCAAGATGCAGATCTGGAAGAAAGAAGTTGTCTGCCTGTGACAATGTGGTGAAAATTGAGGTGAGGATTTAATACCTGAATTAAGTCTTTGAGAGGAAAAATGACGGCAGCCCAAAAGTATTGGAACATTGTTAGGAAAGCTGTGTGACAAAACAGGATTTCACAGAAGCACTGAATGCTCAGGGTGGGAAGGCACCTCCAGAGGTCATGTGGTCCTATGCCCCAGCTCAAGCAAGGCCACGTAGAGCCAGTTCCCTAGGAACCAAGTGTTGATGGCTTTCAAATATCTCCAAGGAGGGAAGCTCCGTTACTTCTCTGGGCAACCTGTGCCAGTGCTCAAGTCAATCTCATAGTAATAAAAAGCATCCTTATGTTCAGATGGAGCTGGCTGTGTTTCAGTTAATGCCCATTTTGTTCTGTCACTGGTTACCACTGAAAGGAGCCTGGCTCCATCTTTGAACCCTCCCTTCAGATATTCTTATACACTAAAAAGTCTCCCCTGAGCCTTTGCTTCACCAGGCTGAGCAGTCCCAGCTCTCAGCCTTTTGAGTGTCTCCAAGGATGAACACTCTACAGCTTCTCTGGGCAACCTGTACAGATGGATGAGCAGCTGGGAGCAAGGAAGAACCTCATTGGCCTAACCGGGCTTTCCTGTTCTTAGTTATTTTAGCTAAACAAAATTAAGTTTTGGGAAAGACGTTGTAGCGGTGGTGTTATTTTTAATGAGCACAGGGTTTGCATTGAAGGGTGGAAAGCAAGGACTATAAAGGAACTAGGAAGACCCTTGTCTATGCTTACAAAGCTTTTTTTTCTTCTAGCTGTGTTCAGTATTTCTACATCTCAGTTTTCATACAAAATGGTGCACTTGCTTTATTTCTGTGCCCTTTAGGAGCTACTGATAGAATCAAAGTTCTTGGAGCTCTCCATGTTTTCCTCTGCCTTTGAGTCCTAATTAAATACTCTGATTCCATTATGAAAAGGAGCTAACAGGCTCTTTCACTTTGGTATTTCATTATGCATGAGGTTTGGGTGAGATGTGAATGCAGGTATTGTGAGGTCTAACAAAAGTGTAGAATATTCAGGCATACACCTAGTGATAATGTGAATGTGCCATCAGGTAATCGCTTGCAGGAAAGGTAATTTAATACTGCCTGGACTGTGTGGAACAAAACAGGAGTTGAGACAGTGCGCTTCTCTTGTAATTCTCACATAAATCCTGAAATGACCATAAAGCCTCAATTTGCTGCCTTACTAAAGCTTTATCTCCATCCCTGATGACTTTAACAATGACAGGAGATGTAATCAATGTAAAAATGTGACATTGTGTGAGAAAGGAAAGAAATTAAATTGGGTTCAGCAATGACAGGCTGCTGAAGTAGTAGTAATTTGAGTCAAATGATTTCTCAATGAATTTGTGACAACTGGAGCAGAATTTCCAGTCGATGTTTCCAGAGTGCTATGTTAATTCCACAGAGAATTTGAGGCCAGCTAGTTAAAGAGCATACTTGATGCTGCTACCAGATTGCTGTTAGGCGGTGACCTTTGTCCTCCAGAGGTTCTGGAGCAAATCCTCCTAGAAGCTGTGTTAAGCACATATGCCAAGGGCAGAAAAGTGTTTGGGATCTGACAGCATGGATTTACTGATAATCATAAAAGATACCTGATGAACCCTGGTTACTTTACATAATGAGTGGACTGGCTCTGTGATGGGCAGAGAGCAGTGAATGCTGTTCACCTTAACTTCTGCAGTGACTTTGATACAGTCTGTAATACAGTCAATGTAGCCATTCTGGTGACACATGTACTGGGTAAGCAGACTACTAGATGATGCAGAGAATTGTCTGGGTCACTAGGTTCAGAGGGGTTTGATCAGTGGTGTATAATCCAGCTGCTGGGTGGTTATTAGTGACATTCTTTTGCTATTTAGAGGGACCTCAGCAGGCTGGAGAAATGGGCTGACAGAAACCTCATGAAGTTCAGCAAAGAAAAGTGAAAAGTAATCTGTGCCTAGACTATGCACAACAATACAGGCTGATTGCTGAATGGCCAGAAGGCAGCATTGCTGGGTAGCACTCAAGTGCCCAGTTGAATGTGAGTCAGTGGTGTACCTTTGCGGTACTATAGCCAGCAGGTCAATGGAAGGGATCATTCCCCTCTCTTTGGCACTTGTGAGACCGCATGTGAGGACTGTCTCCAGATTTGAGCTCCCTTAAGTAATTGATATATTGGGGCTAGTCCACTGAGGTGATAGGGTACACATAATGTTTAAGGAGACAGAGAGAGCTGGGTTTGTTCAGTCTCGGGAAGAGAAAGTAAAGGGAAGATCTTATTGATGTCTCCAACTGCCGAACTGGATTGTTTAGAGAACACAGAGCCAGATTCTTAACAGTTAAGAGGATGAGAAGCAACACATAGACTATGGCAAGGGGAAGTCTAATTAGACAGCCAGAAGGACAGCTTTTCATCTTGGGGGCTGTCAGATGCTGAAACAGGTGCTCAGAGAGGCTGTGGAATTCCCATCTGCAAAGATACTTACCTGGATGGGGCCCTAGCAACCTGATCTAAGCTGGTCTGCTGTGTTGCAAAGATAAGCCATTAATCACAGCCTAATAAATACTAAGAAAATTACTGTTTGCATGTAAATATTTCTATGCAACTCCATGTTTTTTTCTTTGTATCACCTGTGTGACTCATGTGGGAACTGGACTTTTTTCCCTTTTAAGTAGCTGGGGTCAAGTCCTTCCATGGTAGCAGCCTACTACAGAACTACCTCTGTGGTTGCCCATACTACAGACTGTTTGCTATCAAAGCTAAAAGTGCATTGTTGAGTTTAAATGGGCAGCATATAGAGCAGTATGGATTTGTGGTGGGGGTTTGGCACAGATGCCACTGCAGCTGGAGAATATGGGGAATTTCAGCATACAGGATAAGAAGCCTGCAGATCATGATTCCCTTGTTCCCCTTGGTCAGGTGTCTTATACTTTTTTGAGTGTCTGTAGTTGCACTGGGACTTACTCACATAAGGATGGGCTGCCTTTACATTTGGCCATTGTTGGAATGCATCACACTGCACTGATAGCAACTACAACTCAAAGCAGATTTCTTGACAAATGCTGGAAATCTGTGCTAATTCCTAAAGTTAACATGCAAAACCAGTGATACACAAAGCTGAAGAAACAGTAGGCTTATACGGGAAAGGTTATTCCTTCATATTTAGAATTGGAGGGAAGGTTACACTACACTGCATGCTACTTTTAATCCATGAAAGCTTTACATGCAAAATTATTTGGATTATAAAAAGGAGTTTTCTAAGGGAGTAGGGTTTAACAAAAAAGGAATATCTTACCTGTATGTCTGTGTGGAGCAGCATTCACAGGAATTCTCTTTTGCTGTCCCTCCTGTGGCGGTATCTATAAGTAAGGCTGGACTTTGATTGGGCAAAGGTTGATTTAGAAGATTATTTATTTAACCAAGATTCACTGAATATGTTCAACACCTTGATAGGCTGCCTTGTCCTTGCTTGCAGAAGTGCTAATCACATGCATGTCTTGGCAGCTTTGAATTTTGCTCTGCTTATAAAAACTTAAGTCAATGAGGTCATCTGAGGCAAGCCTGATCTTTACTCTGGGCAAGAATCTTCTCCAGCTGTAAGAAATATCTTAGCAGGAACAGGTTCGGATTGTGGTGGATTGACCTGGGCCAGCAGCATTTGACTGCAGATCAAGAGGTTACTGGTTCAAATCTCTACATGTTAGATGCCAGATAAAGGACTGTGATGGGTTAACCTTGGCTGGCAACCAGATGCCCACTGAGCTGCTTTTGCTCCCTTCCTGTACAGAGCAGGAGGGAGAAAATAGGATGAAAAGGTTTGAAGAATTCAAGGTAAGGACGGTAATTGGAAGAGATAGGAAAAGAAAATAAAAGGGCTTGTGCTGGAGGGGTGTCTCTGACCACTGAGGCCATCGCATGTGTGGAACATGTAGCGTAATCGAGTGACCCATATGTGTAAAGTTTTCTTGGGATAGAGAGCAGGGGTGGCTGGGCTATCAGTATTGTGAGGCCTGACAAATTGCCTATCCTGGACCACTGCTCTGAACCTGACAAGGCGAGTGCTATGTATTTACCATGTGGAAGCGTCTACTGAGTGACCGAAGACATACCCTGTAAACCATACTATTGCCTGAAATGCAATCCTGAGCCTTGAAAGTCAAATGCTGCGTCATGGTACTCCAGAAAGAATCCAGCCAGACAGTGCAACTCATTTCTAAAATAACCTTATACAATCCTGGGTCAAGCAACATGGCATTGATTTGGTCCATCACGAAACCTATCACCCACAAGCCTCTGGAAAGGTTGAACAATACAATACTATGTTGAGAGCACAGAACACTGGGGAATGGAAGCAGTGGGATGTAAGTATAGCAGAAGTCGCTATACTTACAGCACCAGATGATCTACTAACTGCCCTTGTTCTTGGTAAGATACCAAGGTACTTAATGAATTGACCGTGCACCGCGCAGATGGGAGCACATGCAAGGATTACAGGTCAGCATACAAGGAAACAGCGCAGCATTTGAAGCAAAATGGAATTTTTTATTGTACTACCACTGTGACAGTGACTTGAGGTCATTTCAGGTGCAGACAAGAATTTTCAGGAGTAAGGTGTTATACAGATTACCACGGTGCTGGCAGAATGCTGTAGAGTGGAGAGTTGGTATTGTGGAAGGGTGTAGTTTCAATAAGTGCAATTTAGCAAAGTCTTGCTCTTTGCCAGAATGTATGTGGCCCAAGTCACTCCTGGCCCTATTTTGGAGACAGACATGAGGAGAGCAGGTACCCAGTGGTGCCAGGATGATGGTCCTTACTTAACTTACTTATTCACACCTGAAGAGTCTATACAGGAAAAAAAAAAGATGTAGCAAATCTCTGGATCACTCTGATATTGCTTTTTTAAAGCTGTTTTGCTTTGGTTTTTTATTGTGACTCACCATGACTGTGTTAAGAGCTGGTGAAGAAACCACTTTCATGGCCATTCTACTGGATGAGAAGAGCAGAAAACAGAGCTGTTAATGAAAGACTGGTGAAGTAGACCTTTAATGTTTGTAATCCAAGTGCAAAGTTACAAAGTTCAGTCTACTAAAACACACCTTTTGTTATTAACACAGTTGTATAAGAAGTCCAACCCTAAATTTGAATGAATATAGTTCATATGTTTGGTTCTGAGGATAGTTATGCTCAAAAGATATGTATCAGTGCTGGCACCGTTCTATTGACAAAAGGTTTAAGTGGCTACTTTGCTGTAAATGCATTCCCTCACTTTAAATATTTAATGATAATAACTATATCAACCACAGCTGAACCTTTTTTGCCTAGGTGCACGTACATCCCTTAAAAATTGATGTAATGAGGATTTCCAAATAGTGCTTGTTTACCTACATATATATATATATATATTGCTTGCTGCATCCTTGCTTGCTGCATCCTTGCTGACCACAAGGTCACTAGTTCCCTTGCAGTGCCATCCTGTTTGTTATGAATCCAACAAATAGTTAAAGAAAATTCATTTTCAAATGCAGTGTGTTGGGAGGATACAGGCTTATTTGTGTCCTCTGCTGACTCCAGCTGAAACAATTGTAAATCTGTCCCCTACTCCCTGCAGAACATCATGCCCTTGCAGCTGAGCTCTGCAAAGGTGGCACGCTTGGTCTAAGCCACCACAGTCCAGTGTATTAACAAGAGGCAACATCGCTTTCAATTTATATTAATATGCAAGGCTGTGAACTGCAATAGCTGAAGGGCTGTGATTTGCAACCTCTGTCAGGTAGAGATATGCTCCCTGAAGAAGTTGCTGTTCCCATCCAAGGGGGCCGCGGCCTCTTCAGCTTTCCTTCCACAGCTAAATCTGAAAGGGATTGTGAATCAGAGCCTTGGACTGTTTTAAGGTCTCCTTCAATAGAGTAATAGGAGGATATTCTTAATTTGTCCTTGTATTTAAGCTGTTAAAAATCAGTACAATGCTTTCCCTTTGTCCCTTACTTTGCCACTGATGTTTTTTGTGCTCCAGTTTGGCAAGTATTATATAAAGCAGCATGTGATTTGGTAATAGGAATATTTGGTTCACTGAAGACCTCCTTAATCATGAGGCAAAGTGCATTTGAGCTACCAAATGAATATTCATCAATCTTTCTGCGCATAGCCAAGTGGTAATTAATTCTTTTTCTTCTGGTGACCACATGCTCCTGATACAATAAAGAGACTCAGAGGAAAAAACGAGGGAGCAAGCAGGAATGGCATTGCAATCCTGCTGCTTTGCAGATGAAGGGGAGAATGCCCATCCTAGCATTTTGGCTTTATGTCTTCCTAAAAAATAGAAGAATACTCCACATTTGCTGTCCCTGTGTTTTCAGCAAAAAAAGGTATTCTGTTATCCCCTGGACCTGTCAGTGAGGAATTATAGTGGCAGTCCACTTGCCCTAGGCTTTGCTCTTTTTGCTTTAAACATCGAATTGACTTCCCTAGTGACCTTTCTTACTGGAGAATATAAACTAGAAACAATACTTTCTTTTTTAGCTCTTCTTTAACTGTTCAACAAATATTCTGTGTTGATAATGAATTTGGGCTTTTAGATGCAGAATTTGTTACCAAGTTAACTGTGAGGTTTCTCTGTATGGCTTCTTTGCTGCCACATCAGGCTGAAGTCAATGTTAAAAAATGGATATTTCTCTTGAAGCAAAAATTCAAGGGTGCTAGAAATGAGGAGTTATGTGAGCTAAGTAGACTTTTCAGTGCAGCTATGTGTTTGTTCATAGTAAATGGCTGTACACATGTATATATATTCACATGCATGCACAGCAATCAGTCTTCCAGCCCGTTTGGATAACAGCAGCTGAAGCTGATTTGTTTAACACTGCTCAAATGGCAACACGTTTGGAATTCTTGTCTTCCTTCTGGCACTCGTAACATGTGGGAAGACTTTTCTTTCCAGCTTTTGTTGTTGGGTATTTTCTGGAAAAGAATTTCTTCAGTTCTGCCTTTTAATTGCTGTATCATTCAATAGTCTTCGGGCACGCAAGATGCTGAGGCATCAACAATAATGCTACAAATGTACTAATCTGGCTTTTTCCACTCAGCACATGGAGCTTTATTTTTCTTATGTTACACACCCCTATAAAACTGCTGTGGGTTTGGTTTTTGTTTTCTGGTTTATGAACAGAATAAGTTACTTCAATCTGTCGTACGTGCATGTTTTGCCCTCTGGAGATGGATTTCTGAATTTGACAGTAGGCTCTGTTCCTTTCCTTCTAGGCTTTTGAAATGTATAAGTAAAGAGTACTATGTCTACTTCACTATTTTCTTCAAGGAGCATTATGAAGAGATGCTTATGCAGTCACTCTAAAGATCATATATTCTTCCTCCAAAAATACAGCTCCATGAGAAAGGAAGTGTCCAAGCCCTAAGGCTTTGACAGCAGCAATTGTGAATTTCTTTCTCTTACCATGTTCCATTCCTCTTCCTTCTGCCTCTGTCCCATCTCGTCCTGTTGTCCCCCCCCAGTCTGTAATCCATCCTGGAAATGCCCCTGATTTCTGTAATAACCTCTATATGATTGAGTAGTCAATTTCAGTTTGTCAGTAAATATATTATTGGGTGGAGACCTGGACTGAGAGCAGCCTGGAGGGGAGACACTTGGGTGTGTTGGTTGATGAAAATCTCAAAATGAGTCAGCTTCAGGGTGTGCTCACAGCCTGGAAACCAAACCATGTTCTGGGCTGCATCAAAAGGAGCGTGACCAGCAGGTCGAAGGAGGTGATCCTGCCCCTCTACTCTGCTCTTGTGAGACCCCACCTGCAGTACTGTGTTCAGCTCGGGGGCCCACAACACAAGAAGGATATGGACCTGTTGGAGCAAGTCCAGAGGAGGCCACAAAGATGGTCAGAGGGCTGGAGCACCTTTTCTATGGAGACAGGCTGAGAGAGTTGGGCTTGTTTAGCCTGGGAGCCTTTAAAGCAGCCTTCTAGTACCTAAAGGGGCCTAGAAGAAATCTGGAGAGGGGCTTTTTAGCAGGACATGTAGGGACAGGACAAGGGGGAATGGCTTTCAACTGAAACGGGAGATTTAGGTAAGATCTTAGGCAGAAGCTCTTCCCTGTGAGGGTGCTGAGGCACTGGCACAGGGTGCCCAGGGAAGCTGTGGCTGCCCCATCCCTGGCAGTGTTCAAGGCCAGGTTGGATGGGGCTTGGAGCAACCTGCTCTAGAGGAAGGTGTCCCTGTCCATGGCAGGGGTTGGGACTGGTTGAGCTTTAAGGTCGCTTCCAATACAAACCAGTCTGGGATTCTATTCTGATATTTTATTACCCTAAGGTTATGCTGGAGTAGTGTCTGGAGGGGGAAGGTGCATCAGCCTCAGCAAATGCAAATGATGTTGCTTCACAGAATCCAGAATTATTTTGTCTCTTTTTTTGTATGCCAAAGACTTAACTTCTGCTTCAAGCTTCTTACTGGGTGCATCCACTCTTGCTACAGGAGGGATTTAAGTTGGAATAGCATTCATTTGCCATTCTCTCTCACTGAGATCAGTAATCATAATGCAAAGTCTGAATGTAGCCTTGAAGAGAAATACTAGTTTCCTGTAGAAGTTTCCATCTTCTCTGTCACTCTGTATTTGCTTTTATGTTTGGGGAACTATTGTGCTCTGCTCTGGTGAGGCTTATATGATGCTTATAACACTGTTACTAGAAATGTGGGGATGGATAATGCCTGCTCTTTATTAGTTCTTGTCACTTTGTGGCTTTAAAAGGCTTGTTATCTGTTATCACAAAAAGGAAATGGCTACTGCTCTGCTTGGCACTGCAGAAACGCAGAATGCAGCCCTTTTCCTGCATACCTATTGAAAACTGTTATTATAAGCTTTGAGAGGAATATAAATTTAGACACTATTTGAACCAAAGATTAATATGAGAAAAAAAATGATTTATTTTTATATGGTGTAAAAGCCACTAGAGTTGGTTATGAGCTTATAAAATAATATGAGCTTATAATAATAAATAATTCGTTTAAAATCCCATCCAAACATGCAACAGATCCCATCAGAAATCTTGCCTAAGTACTAAAGACAGGCTAGATCTCCACAAAATGCATCTATGGAATTGAGGTTGGCATGGTTGTAAGAGTAAAACTGTTTCTTGGTGACAGCAGAGCTTGTGTCCCTGATTTCAGCTGGAAAATGACACTCAAACTATCTAGGAAATACCCACCTTCATTGTAGCTGATGGCCTGTGTTCAAGGTCGTCCTGAGTGATATGACTACATCTGGGCCTAAGTAGCTAAGTGATCCTGAAATACTGCACTGGGTTCAGAGCTGGAGCAATGGGACATACCTGCTCGAGTAGAGAGAAGAAAACTATTATCCACAGATAGAGCTGAGGTGACATTAAGCTGTTTCCTTGTGCAGGTCATCCAGAAGTGGAAGGATTTCAAGATCTATGTCACTGGGGAAGCTAGCATGAGCTTGAGTGAAACTTGTGTGTGGCAGTAAGCTTCATGATGTTTGAGTCCATATAGCCAGTGGCAAGATCTCAAGAAGTTCAGCAGAAGTAGTATATTCTACTCTCTTGTGCTTTTTGCTTCACCTTTGCAGGGGGCAGTTGCACTGTTATCTCTTGGTTTTCATTTGTTCTATGCACATGAAAGATTCCCAACAGAGTCCTTTAATGATTTCCTAAACTTAAACCACAACTTTTACCTCAGTCAGATTCTCAGTTGTTAATGGTTGTACTTTAAGCTGCTGCTGCTATGTTATTTCACTGCCATACTTCTTTTAAAGCTCACTGTGTCCTGAAGAAGAGGATGATGGAATAAGAACCCTGCATAATTATATTTACTGCCAGTAAGGTGGAATAATAAAGTAGCTAATGGATGCTTAAATCAGGTAGGCATTTATATTAAGGAAATTGAAACTGAAGGATGTTGTCATCATTTTAATGCACCGTGTAGGGTTAACTTTGTGAGTGGTGATAATCTGTTATATCAGTTTAAGGGTTTAATCACTTGGCAATGTTACTCTGATAATTCATTATTACCCGGTGAAGTCACATATTTAATTAGCCTAGATAACAGAACACTGATTTCTCAGGGTTTGTTTGCTTTTGTGTAATTTGATTGACGTAATTAATTTTATTATTTTGATTTAAAAAAAAGGCACATCTTTTCAGTACTTGGTGCCTGGACCTATTTTCTTTACAGTTACAGAATATGTGTATCTTGAGGTACAAAATTTGTAAGGTCTTTGTGATCTCTTCAAATTTAGTTCTAAACTGCTTCACAGCATGATTAATAAAAATAATTGTCACTAAAGAGAAAAGCCTGATGTTTTAATTCAGTATAGAACTCTTTGGGTTTGATGTTTTGATGGTTTTATTTTTATTCTAGATATAAGAAAAGTAAAAATGACAGCCCATTTCTCATTTACAGAAGCCAACGTATAAGATGTATAATGATGAAGTAGTGTTCTACAAAAGCAAACCCAACAAACTAGGTCTTAAAATTGAGGTAAAGCAGGAGGGCAAAAGGGGGCCTTTTATCATCACTGAGTTGTAGACCAGTGCATCCAAAATGCAGCCCCTGCCATATGATCAGGGCACAGACAAGCATCTATCTAGCACAGATTACAAGCAGGAGTATTAGAGATCCAGAGTGTCTGGTGCGCAGCTGTGTCATGTGTGTGTTCCTGTGTCATGTGCTTGTGTCCAGCATGGTGAAAGGAGCAGTTCTAGACCACCAAGAGGATACAGCCCCTGCTTCACAGATTTGATGAGGACCAGGCTTTCCCACCCTCTCATTTACAGAGCTGAAAGCTGGAGTTGGAGCTGTCAGGATTTGGTTCTAGGAAAACTTTGTAGGTCCTCTGAAATGTGTTTTTGGAACCTCTTGCAAATACTGAATGTTGTGTCATAGATCAGGTGTTGCCAAAAGCTAAATCTGACTTAGTTATCTTCTGTATATGTTTTCCCTCATGACTATACTGTTTTTCATTTGTAATAGATGATCTAGGTGAAACTGAACTTTACTTTCTCTCTTACTATCTGAATATTATTTGCATACCACTAAGACAAATCCTGGAATTTACCTTATTGGATTTTTTTTCCATTATCATGGGAATGTGTAGGTGAGGGTGATTGTCTAATGCAGCCTTAGGGCATGTTTTTCAGGGTGTGTATTTCTCTCATGTTGCTTTTTTTGTTTTGGTTAAAGTAGGATGGAAACATTAAGATTTCAATAGCCAAAACCTATCACTGAGTTTATCTTTTGATTTAATATAAACACATACAACATACAAAAGCTGAAATTGTCTTTTTTTCTTTTTTTCTATGAGGTTGCAAAAGGTAGGAAATGCATTGGACACACATTCTGTTCTCTGACATTGTGATCTATGTTTTTCATACCCCTGATTTATCCTTGCCTTGCAATCTTGTACTGAACACTTGTTAACTGTCATATTGAATCTGATGGATTTACTAACACTGAGACATCTGAGGAGATCTCACTTGCCTTAACACAAATGGGCACCCATTCAGATTTATTCAGCAAGCAGAACTTTGCTTCTTGCCTTTTTTATTTATATATTTTATTTTCTGTATGGTTGAAACTGGGGATTTTTCCCTCTGTAAGCCCTGTTTGAAGTTACACGGTAGGTGTTCTAGGGGGTGTTGCATTGCACCCTCAGTATTTTCCTATGTTGCTCAGCTTAGATGCCTGTCAAGAATGCACACGCAGCTCGCGTAAAGCCTCCCAAGGCATTTCTCAAATAAAAAAGCTGCTCACTGCTTTATTTCTGAAAAGAAACCTCAGGGATATATTCAATCTTGCTCGCTTGTGAGTACGTATTCACTGGCTCCACCAGTTACAGGCTGAGTAACTGGGATTATGCTCCACTGACAGACCTGTTGCTGAATGGGCTTCAAAGAACATGTTGCTTGCTCTGCAGGAGAAGTGATTGCTTTGGGATTGGCATGAGAGAAAGTGGAAGGAGAAGAAGGAAAAAACCTTAGTAATCTTGCTTTGCTCTTTGAATTGTGCACACTTCGTCCATGGCTGATATTTGTGCTTGAGCTCTCAAGTCAGCACCTATTACAGATGTGGTGGTCTTAAGGAAGTTTGGAAGCAAATCTGGAAACTTATGGCTTTGCCACACAGAGCCTGTACATTTTCAGTAAATGTGTCTGGAACATTGAACTACTTCCTGCTATAGCTGGGATTTTGATTGCTTTAATGAGTTGCAGAGGCTGTGAACTGGCAGCTCCATTCCCCTTGAACTCACCACTATGTTCTATGCGTCTCAAAAGCTGTTAAAAGAGCAACTGAACTCATGCTTCTTGTCTGCACTCTGAAAAGGAAACCTCTTAAAAGTCTTTTAAGTGTCCAAAAATTACTGGGTCATCTAAGAGAGGAATTGTTAGCTAAAGTGGCCTTAGCTGGTAAAAGCCAAGAAGATCTCCTGGTCCTGGATAGCCGTCCTATAACTGAAAGCTTGACATCAGAAAGTGCATGGGGACCCTTTCAGAGAGCCAATAAAGAGCTGAAAGGTAGGTGAAGAATAGGTATTGTAGTTACAAAAACAGAGAAACCAACCAGACATTCAACTTCTTGCAAGTGCAGTCCACACTGTGGGAATTTCTTTGCAGTACAGAAAAGCGCAGATAAATGCTTCATTATCATTTTCACTCCCACCATTTCACCCCCCTCCTCTACCAAAAAGAAGATCTGAGCATACCTAAGAGAACTGATTTAACTCACATGAGTACACAGAGTACAAGCACTGGACAATGTGGAACAACTGAAGTCCTGCAAGGCTTTCTTCCAAGTCTTCATCTAAGGTGGTAGGTGAGAGGCAAAAAAATCCCAAACCCCATGCAAGCAGAAGCAAAACTTTTGGTTTTTATTTACTTATTTAACCTCAAAATCTTTCAAGGCACCCACCCATTTGGAAAGTGGAGGCCAAACACACCACTCATGCTTTTCTTCTTCCTAGAACCATACCAAGCTCCATTTGTGCCAGGCACTGGAACATTTCTGAAAGAGCTTCATTTTTCTAGGGAAAGGAAAATCTATATTCTGAGGTGACAAATGAAGCTCTATTGCCCCTTAGCACTGGTCTGGAACAGGAGGATGTTGTGGTAAGCATGATTTATATTTTTTCCTTCAGAATTTCTCTCTTTTTTCCTGACGACCACATCAAAATTCTCCTGCTCCTTCTCAGAGTACAAATACACTTGTGATAGGAACTGAATTGTTTTCATCATTGAAAAAGGTATGTCAGTAACCTGTTGTTCTGTACATTTATTTTAATGTCCCGAGACAGCCTGCTGGGAGCCAAGCTCTTGTCTGTGCAAGCCAAACAATTTGATGCAGGTGCCCTCTTGAGAAGAAACAATTCCAAAGGAAGTCTGCTTTTAGGAATTTATTGACAGCTGTTGAGTTCACCACAGCCTGTGTCAATAATTGTGTGATTGTGGTCTAAGTCCTAACTTTCAGCTCTTTTAGCTACTGCCCTCTGATCCTCAATAAGCCTGTTGCCTGCAACTTGAGTTTACAGGTAGTACCTGTGTGTGTTCTGGTTTGTGGTATCTGTCATCTTGTTGGTTTGTTTGTTTCTTTTTTATCTCTGTCTTATCTGAACACAGAGGGTTACCTTGTGTTTTACAAGCTCATTGCTTCAGGGGAAGGTCCTTGCACTTTTGACTGCTCTGCAAGTGCTAGGAGAGGCTTGCAGCACCAAGCTGAGTGATCCTAGCCCTCTCCTCTGTACCATGAGAAGAACTCATGGATAACTGCATGTTTTGTTTTCTTCTCTTTCCTTTTTTAGTGCAGAAGATGACTCAGATCACAGGGTTCCTCGCCAGGCCTGGAGGCAGCAGCCCTGTACTGGTGTTCCAAATGGCAGCTTTGGCAATGCTGGTATCAGGTAAGGAGCCCTGGCAAGGAAAAGCATGCTGTTGGCATTTCCCAAATCCTGCTTAGGAGTTACTTGTTGTGGCAGAGGTGCTGCCTGGATTATGGGAAGGAAAGAATATTTACTGCAATAAGCTTTCAGCAGGGCAGGCTCTGCATGATGTTTCTCAGCCTTTTGTTTTCTCCATGATGAATTTTTCCCAGGAAGATGGAGGCAAAACCTGGTCCCCAAAGAGCAGTATTTTGAGCCAATCAGTATTTTCATATTATCTTTCCATGGAATAATTCAATAATTGGTGAAAGCAAAAACCTTCAAGTTGAAGAGAAAAAAACAGACAAGCCCCCAAAATATCCCTCTCCCCTGATGCTTTTGCTGCCTTTTTTGAAGAAAGGATTCTCTTCTCAGCTTGATTTTTATGAAAACAAGAAACTTTATAGACAATATTCTGTTTGTGTAATGCCTCTGCCACAAGGTCTGTGATAGGAAACAGATTTTTCTTCCTCTCATATGAGGGAAAATGTATTTTTTTTATTATGGTACCTGTTATCCTGGGTACTCTGTGCACATCTGGAGCACGAGATAGCCTGGACTTTCACAGCACATGAATGAATGGAGAAGTATGGTGAGGGAGGGGGAGCTGGCCTGGTACAAAGATCAGTTCAGTTACTGTCTGCTGTGTTCCACCACAGATCACAGTATGCTGGAAGTAATTTAGGCATCTACCCCAAATTACATGGAAGAAGGAGAGACCGTGAATTTGAATTGCCTCATCAAGCATCAGCAGGATCAGTCATCACAAATGGAGGCTCGCTGGTATGAAAAACCAAAGAAGCAAAAGGGTTTGCAAAGGACATGGAAGGTTTGCACCACTCCTGAAACTTAAACCTCAAAAGTCACGTCCTCTCTTGCTTCTGAAAATTCAGATTATCAACCAGACAGTGGCCACTCTCAATGCAAAACCAAAATAAAGAACACTGTCCTGACTGCTATGGGCCTCTTTATTAGGGTGAATGTAACAGGTAAGCTCTATGTGTCCAGGAGCTTTCTAGCAGAGGGAGTTGTGAGATCACATCCTTGTCTCTGAAGTGAAATTTCTGCATGCTGAAAACAGTTCATGGAGATGTATCCTATCCTCCTAGGGTGTGAAACTGAAAATGTTTGCTGCCACGCTGTGACAGGTGGAGTAAGTTTCATACTCCTCTGTCTTTTCATCTGTGCATGCTAAATGCAAGACTGACATGTGATGAATGTTGGGGATTTGGTTTAGATTGGCTGTGGATCTCTCAGAGCTAATGGGAATAGTTTCCCATGGGGAAACTCTGAGCACCATTACCACAGCTGAAAGGAATAGGGTGAAAAAAGTGATCTGGGAAAATGTATGTCAATCTTGGGTTAGCTGCAGGTCTGTCCCAGTTCACCCAGCATCTGCTCTATAGCCAGAGCTTCATTCACAGGTGGGAAAGTTCTTTTCTCTAAAATGGAGATCTGTGTATTTTCTTAATAGGGGACCTCTGTGTACGCAAACAGTGCAGCCTTATAGCCTCTTGGATTAACTATAGTGTACATAGACCTCAGGGAGGATTGGTGCTTAGAGGGAGTAGGACTTGAGATATGGCAGCCACCACTGAGTTGTTTTGTTCTTATTGAGGTGATTTATTTTTCTGTTCCTTCATTACTCAGGTTAAAAAGGGATGAAACGTGCAGTGGCAGTGCTCCTGTACAATAATTTCTCTACAGGTCTTAACTGATCATATGGTATGGTGTCTTCTACTTGTGCCAAGTGACTTCAGCTCCAAGCCTCCAGCAGAAGGGAATATATCTCTGGCATAACTAGCTGAGGTTCTCATCTGGTAGTTGCAGTGGTAGTGAGCTACTAGAGCTTTTTTAGGATGGTTCTGATCAGGGGCAGGCTGAGAAGCCAGCTCGTATTCCTTCCAAGCTGTTCCCAGCTTTGTTAAGACATAGGGATTATATCCATCTTTTCCCTTCCTAAAGTTCTCTCCAACATATTTTGATTAAAAATAAAATAAAAATTCAGTTACTTTCCTGCCACTAAGTTTTAGGTGAAAGAAGATGCAGTTCCACAGACTTTTATTTGCATGTTGGTCATTATATCTGGTGTGAGTGTTGTCAATACCACAAGGAGGACAAAAGGTGACCCGAAACAGAACAAAGATCTGAGGATGGATTCTGAGCTGGAGAAGATGTGGACTGTGGTCATGATATCCTGGATAATTTTGTATGCCAAAGGTAAGAAGATTATCTCCTTACCTACCTCCCTACCTCCATATTTCTTTTCTGGGGATAGAGCTTATGACTGATTTTATAAAATCACAAGTCTCACAGGTGGATTTCTGGCACGGCCCTTGTATTTAATGACTTCCCCTTTCCCACTGTAATAATTCCATAGAGGTTAGCAGGCTGAAACTCCCCAGGCGGCAGGATGGAACGATGCCAACTAAGTTGCTTTGGTTTTGGTTTTCAGTGATTTTGCAGCAGGTGCAGCAGAGCTGGATTCTGGCCAACATCCACAGCAGTCACCTAACTCAGCGTTCAATTCATGATCTTGCCAAAAGAGAACGCGCAGAATGAGCACAGGACCATTGTTTTATGGACTTCAGATGCCTCCTGTGTGGCTTTTGGGGAACATGTAGCTGTGTGCTAATGTGACATAAGGTGTCTTGCAAATTAAACACTGAGGCTGAGCTCAGGCAGTTAATTTAGATGTGTGAAAGTCTCTCTTCTCAGCCAGATGACCACTCTGTATAACCTTTGAAATGCAGTCTTGCATCAGTCACTTTTTTACCAAGCTTGTGTTTTACTGATTTGCATTTGTACATTTTGCTCCTGAACACCAGGAGATTTTTTTCTTTTATATTTTCTTTTTTTTTTTTTTGCTTTAATGTGTTCATCTTTTGTTTTTTCCCCACTCAAGAGCTTGTGCCGTGAAAACCCTGTCTGTGGAGTCTGGGCTGCTTTGCTTAAACAAGATAGTTTTCCTGAGATACTGTAAGAACAACTTCATTTTATCGTGCATGATGAATGTCCGGGATTCACGTTGTGTTTCATGGCTCACTTCAAGCTTTCAAGGGACTTATTTCTGGAATTTCTGGTACTGGTTCTTTGGGATTATTCACATTTTCCCTGTAGCTCCATCCAGGCAGAGAAGGATTTCTTCCTGTCCTAGAACTGAAATTCTCTCATATCTAGTGTCAGTTCTTCCAGTTTTTGCCATCATCAAGGCAATGGATTTCTCAGTGTTGGTACTCTTTGAAATGAAGAGACGGTTTCTTTCCAGCTGTACTTTCTGGAACTTGCCTCCCATATGGGGAGGTTTTCCCTTCCTACTACAGCTCTCTATGTAAAGAAGGGTTTCCTGGGTTCTTCTCTCATCTGAAATGTCTTCTGATATATTTCTAGTCTATCCTCTGTGCTCTTCAATTTGTTCTGAGAGAGCTTGAAGCCCTTATTCAACTCTGGGCAGTCTGTGCTCAAGTGAGTGATGCACAGGAAGCAGGAATGAAGTTATTGTCAAACTCCTTGTTTTGCACACAGAAAGCAAAACCAGGCATGTTTTACCCTAACTGTGGGATTTTTTCAAAGGCTATTTTGTCTGTAGTCTTTTAACTGTCTTGTGTCCCTCTCCCCTTTTCCAAGTATTTATGTAAATTTGCCTTCTGTGTAAGAGGTTCTCTCCTAGTACTTAAAATCTGGTATCAAATGACAAAGGGAAGATGGCTGTATCTATATCTGTTTCTGTGGTTACTAAAGCTTGTCTGATGAGCATTTCAGACCACTGCCATGTTTTTCAAGCTTGGACATGTGTGTAATGTTTCTGAATGTCAAAACAGACATGTATCTGCTAAATAAATAAATCAAGTGTTCCTTTATCTCCTCATCACTTTGCCAGGTACCTGACTGTTTAGCAGCTCGGAAGGGCTGCAATTGCTGCTGCTCTGGGAGCCTTTCCATCAAAGGCAGCCTGATTTGGGATTCTTGTTGGAATGAACGTGCATGTCTCAGCTTACAGAACCAGCTGCTCAAAGGGCATCCTTGATGCTGAGAAGCAGTAACAAGCAGGATAGAAGTCTCGCTAGCTGGGGGAAGGGAAAGAGAGGCAGGAAGAGCATTGTATGATCCTATGTTTTGGGTTCCACTGAACCAGTTCAGACTGCAGATATTTTTAGCACTGTCCTTCATCCGGTAGTATGCTGTACAATTACACATCAACATGATGCTTCTCTTGTAGGTTCGTGTAGCTATGTTTCCACCTCCTGGCAACTATAAGGAATAGCTGAAAGGAGACTAAAGAGAATCATGTTTTTATTTTGGCTAGGCACTAGAAAATGAAGTAGGAAGAAGCGCTTCTCTTGAGCTTGAAGAGTTTTTTAACTCTTCAAAGTTCAGTGTTCTATGCAAGGTATAAACATAGAAGCTGTTTCCAAATAGTTTGCTTTGCAGCTACTGTGAAAATCAGTGCTTGAACTGAAAGGTCATAAATACAAGGTACTTGCAGCAGGACTGAAAGTAATAAGAAACCGGACAGTCATTTTATATTGACGGAGGAAGCATGAGTGTATATCGATGGTAACTGGGCACAATAACAGCCCTAGTGAAACTGCAGTCTCTAAAATACCTATACATTCTGCCTATTAGAGGCAACAATTGTTACAGTGTTATGGGGAACACAGTCAAGACTTTAGGTATTCAATGAACAAGAAAATGTTAATTTCCCTAATTAAAAATCTCTGTCAGGATGACCTCTCCCTGGCTTTGACAACAATACAGCCAGAGCTGGGTTTTCTTTCAGGAGCTGATCACAAACCTATAGTGCCATTTGTTGCTCTTTGCCAGGTCAATGCCATCTGCTTATTTCACAGGAAAGACCAAAAGTCCTTTGGTAGCCACCTCAGAACTGCCTTGAATGAACAGGAAAAAGATAATTTTGAGTAGATAGTGAAATACATGCTTCTAGAACCTATAAAGAAATGCATGGACTGCTAGTCCAAAACTTCCAGATCGAAATGTCTTTTTCAGTGAAAACTGATTTTCAAGCTAACTGTCCAAATATGTTTTCAGCCAGGATCCCTTATGGGCATAATGATTTCACTGTTCCTTATGCCCTTGTTAACTGCATTAAAGGTAGTCTGGGGAAGTTTTGTAGCACATGTATGTATGAGCCTGGTTGAGTAGAGGTGCTGGACTCCAAAGTATTGAATCTGGACTTTGAGTGAGGTTGTTTTCTTTGTTGTTCAGTTGTAGGAACTCCCATGTAAGCTGCAGTCAGTGTCCACAACTTGTCTTCTTCTACATGACGTGTTGCAGCATCCAGGAAAATCATCTTGGAAGCCTATATATGTTGAATCCACATGTTCAAAGGTGCCCCTAGTGTATCCCTTTTGATGCACTTTTTAAATTCCTTTAGCCAGCGGCTATTTGTCATTACAGAAGTCATAAACTAGCTCTGACACTAAATCATGTAGAAGCAATGTGCAACCCAGATTTCTGTTGATGGAAGCTTTACAAACATCCAAATAACTTTTCCTGCTGTACACAGCTCATGGTTCTGTAAGCAGGGAGCTAAGGAGGAAAAGAGGTGAGGAAAACAGGTGGGGCAGCACTGCCAGCACCATTTTGGTCTCCTATCTTCATTTTGAAGATAGCTGCTTAACCCCAGGCATTTGCTCTACTGAAAGGGTCTGCTTTCATAAGAGAGTTAGACAGGAAATGGTACAAAATCAGTGACGCTCCCTCATTAGCTGAGCATCCCTAGATGGCTTGTCACTTTAGTACAACAGCTCTAAAAGTGTGTGCATAATGCTCTATATCTATATATTGATTTTTATAAACACACAGGTCTGTAGCAACAGGCACATACAAGTGCCACAGCGCAGGTACTTTTAGCAAATTAAGATGTTTTACATGGATTTTAAGTGGGTTGGTGGCTGTGCACCGTGGCACAGTTTGTATAGGCTTGAGGTCAGGGGGTGGGAAGAAGGCTGTGGTCCACTGGCCTGAATGAATGCAAAGGCCTTATGGGGAGTGTGAGGCTTCCTGAGTCCGCTTCTGACACTTCCTGAACATTCTGTTGCTAGCTGACCTTTCTTGCATCTTATTTCCCTCTCTCTCTTGATTGGTTTGTAGTGTCTTGTCTCAATTTTTCACACAGGACCTTAGGACACTGAATAAAGAGCCAAAAGTCCTGATGTGGAGGCAGGATGCCTGGAGCAGGCATTGCTTTGCCACCTTGTCCTCAGGAGCTTCCCCTCTGCACTGTGTTTTACGCCACTCTGGGAAGATGAGAAAATGAAGACATTTTGCCATCAATCCCCACAGTCCCATGACAGCATCAAAGTTTGTGGGAGCTGACCTAACTTCATGTCACATTTTCCACCTATGGACCACTGGCTTACAAAAAGGGCAGGCAGTCCAGGCAGCTCAAATCTGAATAAGGACATGTTGTAGGACTGGGCTTCTCTGGGCTTCATACTCCCTTGCACCAAGCATAGAATCTGTCAGAGGTGCTGCTAGCCATCTGCATTACAGGAAAGAAATGGGGGTGAGAAGTTTGACTGGAAACTACTGTGGAGAGTTTTTCTAAACCACTAATTGACACAGAGCTATAGGTGTGAAACTGGCTCAAAAGAAAGAGGGTTTATGACAGCAAAGAAACCTGTATGGTGAGGAAAGAAATGGGGGTGAGAAGTTTGACTGGAAACTACTGTGGAGAGTTTTTCTAAACCACTAATTGACACAGAGCTATAGGTGTGAAACTGGCTCAAAAGAAAGAGAGTTTATGACAGCAAAGAAACCTGTATGGTGAGGGAGGAAATGTGCAAAGCAAAAGCATCCCCTTTGGTCTATTACACTGCACCAAAAGAATGTAGACAGTGATGAACGCCACCCTGACATAGGTGTCAGAACTTTAGTTTGCATTTGAGAGGTGGGATGTGTAGTTTTTCCAACATAAGTATGGGTCCAACATAAGTATGGGTCCAACATAGGTAGGGGTTTCTATTTCAGGTATGCTCTGTTACACAAGTGATATGTTCTACTTGATGTAAAAATCACATAAATGGAAGTCACTAGAGAAAAACTACTGAGCCTTCTCCTTTGCCATGTGATAAGTGGTATGGATTTCATATTTAGAATTGTTGATGTGGCTTCTCTATAAAGACAGAAGAGACAATGCTTTCCTTTTCTAAACATAAAAAATAAATGTACTTCCACGTGATGACCCTGAGGGTGGTTGAGTATGCAGCTCCTTGAGTCTGGAGGAGCTGCCTCCTAGCTGAGTCTGTTGGGGATTCCTGAGACTTGTTGCAGGATGTTCACAGCTCTCCATGGGAAGAGGAAGCTGTAGCTTTCAGAGAACCTCCCTGGGTGTGAAGGAGCAGTGAACAGCTGAAGGAGAGAAGCCTGGTATTCCTGGCTCTACCCATCCTTGGTATTGCCTAAACCACGGCTAGTTATGCTACACATTAAGATTGATGGGTGAGGAGGAACCATCTGGGGTTTTATTTCTGCTACACACCAGTTCTGCTATTTCAGTTTTTTCTGAAGTGGGAATTATTTGAGATTTTCAGCTTCTTTACATGCAATTCAGTGTAATTCCATCCTCTTTGTCTATGGAGTGGGAGGCCAATCTCTTCAGCTGAAAGATGAGGAGGAAACTTTCATCTGGGGAGCTTGAGATATGCACTGATTCTTACTGAAGTGTTTAGAGAGTTAAGCATCCACCTATAAATTGCCTCTTTTCTCTTCATCTCTGAATACTTTTTCTTGGATTATCCATACCTCTGAAGGCAGTAATTGTACTTGTGGGTTGTTGGTTCCCAGGTGCTACCTGGGAAACTGGCAGCAGTGTGCAGTGGGTCAACAAGAGGCAGGAATTAAAGGAGTTAAGGTAATGAATATCTCTGTTGTAGGTAGATCTGGTTGCTGGAGTATTAGAATTGAGTGAGAAGTCCCTGAGGTTAATGATCCACAAGTGGTAAGGGGATTCTGTAGGACCAGGAGCAGAAGCCGTTGAGCACGGCCATGTTGGTGCAGTGACCAAGCAATTACGGGAAAATTATTAGAAAATAAATCTTTTTTCTTGGTCTTTGGAAACTGCAATATAATTTCCTCTGGATATTTTAACCTAGAAGTGTCTGGTTTTAAAGGCTTTATTATCAGCAGTGCTTAGCCCCCATATGTTTGCTGACATTGGTGGATGCTGCAGATGATTTATAGCTGGGAAAGTCATGCTGTTAGATACATGGGCTATTTTTTTCTCCCATACAACAGAAAATGTTGAGCAAATGTCTTCTCTCTGAAAGGAAATAATAGGCTACTGGGTTCTTCTCGTTCATCCTTTGTTCCTACTCTCCGTTTGCAACACTGGGTCACAGTGCTTTCTGAAGAGGCTGGCTACAAGGCAGCTACAGATGTGAGGTTTACAACTTGGCTCATGTAATAATTTCATGGGAGTAAGCTATTTTCTGTATGGGCTCTTGTTAAGAAAGTAAATATTTCTGAGCAGAGATGCCTACCTGCTTTCTTGAATTACAGCTACTACAGATATATAAAAAAACCCAGACAAAACACTTACGTGCTGTATGGCATTTATTTATTTATTTATTTATTTTCCTGAGTGTCGTGGTTTAAACCCAGTCAGGTAACTTGTTCACTCACTCCCAGTGAGTGGTGCCGAGCTGACAACAATCGAGGGCCGTCCCCCCCCCCCCCCCCACCGGGGCTCTCCCCTTCCCCGCTCCCGGAGGAACGGGGAGGAGGATCGAAAGAGTGCAACTCCTACGGGTTGAGACAAGAACAGTCCAGCAACCAATGTACAACACAAATCACCACCGCTACTATCAACGACAACAATGATAAGGGAAAATAACAAGGGAAGAGAATACGATATCACCGGCCAAGAAACGAGTCCCACCCGGAAGCCCGTGTCCTTCTGGGTAACTCCCAGTTACCCCCACCCTGGGCATGACGTGCTGTGGTATGGAATACCTCCTTGGCTAGCCCGGGTCAGGTGTCCTGTCTCTGCTTCCTCACGGCTTCCCCTCCTCCCTGGCACAACATGAGCCTCACAGAGTCCTTGGTCAGGGTAAACATCACTTAGCAACAACCGAAAACATCGGTATCACCAGCACTGTTCCCAGGCTGGAAGTCAAAACACAGCACTGCACCAGCTAACACAAAGGAAAAACATGACTGCTACTGCTGAACCGAGGACACTGGGGAAAGAGAAATACTTTGTTTATGTTAGTATCTAAATATTAGTATCTTAATGAATTCAGCACACAGACACCACAAACATCTGTCCTGCTCGGGAGGAAGCTTTGGACCTATTTACCTTCAGGTGTATGTTATCAAAACACTGCAATTTTGCATTTGTTTAATATAATTTGTTCATAATTGTTTTGAGGTACCTTTTATTAGGCTAGTTCTCTCTCCCTTTCAGAAAGCCATCTACCCTCTACTTCCCAGGCTGTAGGGAAAGCTTTATAGTTTTACATATTTGGAACTGAATGGAACTAGCTCACGAACTGGATGGGTTGAATTTCACAGCTACAAACCATCTGTGGCTTCTGCTGATGCCAGCAAGTATATGATAAATAGGGAGCCTGAGAAGAAAATCCACTATGGAGGCACAGCTCCTCCAGTTGCTAACAGTGCTAACAATCTACTGCTGTGCTGGTGACAGGGCTTCCTGGATGCATTTCCAGGGCCAGGTTATTTTTCAGAATGCCAGAAGGCTATGAAGTCAAACCAAAGGTCTCTTAGCACAGCAGCATTTCAGCAGCCAGCAGCAGATGGCTAAGAACAGAGCAAGAACAAAACTTCTCAGTTTCTGCGAATGAGCAGCTTTGGGAATATCTGCCTGCTGTCCCAGGACATTCAAGGTCTTCTTATATTTTGTAACTTCATTTCCAGCAGAGGAACTTGAGGAATTGCTTGGGAGAAACTGGGGCAGCAGTTGAGCCAAGTGTCTGTCCCCTGTGGGGGCCTGCAGGCTGCTCCCAGACCTGGTGCAAAACTCTTCACAGAGAAGAAGCTGCATGAAAATAGCCTGGCCCCTGAGATGCATAGGGGATGCAGAGCCATGGACGCTGCTGCTGCTCCATTTCTTCAGCTAACTCTTACAACTGAGAGGCTCAGCAGCATGTGCTAAAGGTTTGTGGAGAAATGGGAGCACCTCTTAAATTGACATTTAAACTGCTCCAGATGTTTATTGCAAATGCCGTACCAGTGGGTAACCCCGGCTTTGAGAGCTTCCCATGCTCAACAGGCCAGGTAAAAGTGGAGGCTGATGTGGGGATGTTGAAAATATGGCATAACCTGCATCTCTCACTTCAGAAAAGGTGTTGGCTGTCTGCAGGCTTCTGCGTTGGTTGTTGTGTGGTTGGCACGTCTTCAGTGTAAGGGTTCCTGGTCTGTCTAAGATGACAGCAAACCCTGTGTGGGATGCAAGGACTTGCACCTCCAGAGACCCTGCTTCCTTCTTGAGAGCTGAGTGATAGAGGAGCATAGTTTTGAGAAGAGAGGCCTTGGTGATGAGGTGGAAATATCAAATGCCTTGTAGTGGATGCTGCTTCTGCATGAAGGCTTTGGCCATTGCAAGTGTGGGTTTGGATTTTAAATAATGTAGCCTGACTTTGCATAGTAGTTACCTTATCCTTGTACAAGAAAAGTGGGAGAGTTGACATAGCCATATGGAACTACTTCTTCTTCTTGCAATCCTTTGCAACCCTCCTCTGCCTAAAGACACCAGGTGTTACAGTGAACAGACTTTAAAGGCAGAGTCTTCTCTACCATTTAAAATACGCTTCTACTACAAAGCAGAGTCGTATTTTGCTGAGTTAATCATAGGAATGGCTATGTGACACATTGGTTATTCTTTAAAAAGTGGTGATGACTGATGCACTGATTGATAAACTGGTTCTTCATGATCTGCTCCTTCAGGTCATGTTAATACATATTTTCATTATGTTGGACTTTGCTTGTATTTATCTGATTTTAAAGTGGTGCTTTGTATAGCTCAAGGTTTGTAGTTTGCTTTTGATATATAATAGCAGACAACTTCAGGTTGTGGTTTGTTCTTCATCTCAGAAAAGCAGTTTGTTTCCCTCATTTTAACTATGTCACATCCTCTTCATGGGAGTGTGCAACGAGATGGTTTGTTTTCACTTGGATCTCTCAAGGGGGAGTAGAAGGTGTGTCTGTCTGTGCCTCAAGATCTCAGAAGCATTAGTGAAAAGAAATCAATGAAATGTACAGCTGAAAACAGGGACTATCTGGGATGGACAGTCCTGAATTGAGATAGTTCTTACTTCTTTGCAACTATACCCATGTACCTCCTGAGGACACCAGGGGAGCTCTCTGCAGTTCCCTGGTGCACAGGAGCTGCCTCGTAAGCAGGCACCAGGACCACCATCCACGTTGGAGCAGCTGCATGTGCTAACATCTCTCCACTCATCTGCAGAACAGCAAGTAACAGAAGACCGGAGCACGCTGGCGCTGTTGCTGTTCATCTCCCATGGCTGGAGGGCTCCTCTCCAGGCTGACAACCCGGTAACGTTCTTCCACCCTAAATGTTCACTGGGATGAATCCAAGTGTGAGCAGTACTGTTCCCCAGCTGGAAGGCTGAGGCTAATGGAAGAGTGACGCACACATTGCATGGTCTTGTGCCAGCCACTGCCGTAAAGGCTGAGTAAAAATTGTAATTTATTTTAATGTAGTTATTGAGGCATTTTAATTCCATCAAAGGAAATAACATGAGACAATCTACAAATATTCATTTGCTACTTTTAAATGGATTTGATTCAGCTGTACTTGGTTTCTCCTTTACTTTGAGACTTCTCGCTTCCGGTCACAAGTATTCAAGGATTGTGAACCTTAAAAATTGCAGTCTAAATGCTACATTTCACACATGAATATTTAAACAGAGTGATATACTCTGCTCTTTCTGTAAGGCCCCATTTTTAATCATTAATGCCTGTTCTTTTGAGCAAATAAACCCCATATATATGTGACTTGTATGCATTTAAAAAAAAAGAAAGCTCTCTGGGACAAGTTCCAATATGACAATGTTCTGTTTATGAATATTTATAGAGCCATCAAATTCGGTGAATACTGAATTTGCTGATAAACAGTGTGGTTTTACTTTTCTTTTGAAAGAGACCAAAAAATTATCTGTAAATTGGGTCAAATTGAGTACAAGATTCTGGTCAAAAAGCGTTTATTTTATTCATTGGTTAAAAAAAAAAAAGAAACCTTCAAACTGTTTGATTGAAAGAAACTTTTATGTGCATCATTCAGCCAAATGACAATTATTTCAACAGTATTGAATAACATAAAACAAAACATCTAATTTGTGGAAAAAAAATTAAGTGGATAAAAATTAAACTCAGGAGTTTTTCAATGTTAAGAGCTACGTTGCCTGTTGCAAATTAATAGCAGAACACTGATCAATGTAGTTGCTCTGGTATTGATTCAGGCTGCAGTGAAAGCTTTTCATCCAGATGCATCAGTGTTTTGTTGGAACTGTGAAGAAAACCATTAGGCTGTTGTCTAATGTGCATACACATTGTGTTGGGTTTAAGAAGGTACTATTGCCTCTTGCACTCAGTTCATGAATGTGGAAGCATTTGTTCTTTCTGTACCACAAGTATTCTGTTTTTTCTTCTGTGCATCAGGTGTCCTCACTTGATGTATTTTACATTTAAAATGAAATGTTTAATGCAGCATCATTGAAGCCTGTTACTTTTACAGCAACTGATAGCAGATCTGTGTGCACAGAACCCTGGCTGCCCTTTCCTCCTCCTTCCAGCACATGCTGACAAGCCCTGTTGCAACATATATGATGTTTCTGAATCAACCATTGCACTAAGATACTTGTTTGTCTGGTGTGTATTAGGTTTTGACTTGAGAATGAAAACAACATATCAGTATTTCCCATGGGATGGAAACACAATTTCCCAGCCATCTCTAACTGCATGTGACCGATTCAAAAAGTAAAAGAGGTACAAATGATGATATAAAGGAGAGAATGACAAAACACCTACCAAGGAAACAACCTGAGGAAATGCAGAGGCAAGTGATGGAAAATGAGATAGCTTTATGGACAGGCTACACAGAGGCTCGAGGCAAAAGCGCAGCTGCTGTTTTTTGACAGTAGCATCAGAAACTGCAGTCAGGACATGGCTACTGTAGTGTTGTGGAAATAGGCAGATACTCTGAGACTTCAGCTTTATTCCCCAGGTGGCTGGGGACACAGTGGTGCATTGGTTGTGAACCCTTCTGTGACAGAACCAGCATGAACATCTACAGGACTAGGGTGCTTGTCCCTGGGATCAGAGCAGAAAAGGTTGGGAGCTGACTGCAGGAATATATATGTATATTGTTCACTGTAGTGTAGTGCAAGTTTGCCATGCCAAATTGGAGTGATTTACATAGGATATCTGACTGTAGGGAAGCATCAGTGATGTTCTTTGCCAAAGCCATGTTCAAGCAACAGCTGAATAGGTTTACATCAAAATTCTTCACTGAGAACCATATATATTTTGATTTGAAAGCTTTTGGTTGGCATGGAGCTCTGGCTTTGTGTGAACTAGAAAACAATGTGTTGGGATGACAGCACTGTCTCAATCTTACCAATGAACCCTTGCCCTTTTGCCAAAAAGGAGCTGGAAATCTGTGAGATATGGTTTGTTAAAAAGTATATATATATTTGTAGAATAGCATAAGTTACCAGATGCCTCTTCAGTTCACTGTGTCTATGAAATCAGGAAACAAACTCACATGCTTTTGATCTCTTGCAATAGGATAGTTGCCCTTTTTGTTCTGCTACAGAAGTAGTACCCTTCTACTACCCTCCAAGAAATTAGAAGCATGCGGGAGTTAGGAATCATTTCTTTGTCAAATAGTCGATGAAGTCTGATGATGTCTAAATCTTCCTATACATGCAGATTATTGATTATTCAGAAAGAGTTGTAGTTTGTGCATGTTTGTTTCAACAAAACCTTTTTTTCATCTTCTGCAGGTAAGACTATGAGGTGGCAGCAAGAGGTCTGTAGCTATCTTTGTGCTAGCCAACTGGGCATGAATAGTGACCAGCTAGAGATGGCTGTAAATTCCTGCAGATCTCCTGTAGAGATGCCTGTAAAAGGAGGGGGCTGGTCTTTTCTCCACAGTAACAAGTGACAGGAAAAGAGGAAACTGCCCTCAAACTTGCAAAAGGGAAGGATTAGACTGGATATTAAGAAAAGAAATCTTCATCAAAAGGGTACTCAGACATTGGAACAGGCTGCCCAGGGCAGTGGTGGAGTCACTCTCCCTTGAAGTGCTTAAAACCCATGTAGATGAGGCCCTTGGTGACAAGGTTTAGCAGTTGACTTGGCAGTCCTGGGGTAATGGTTGGACTTAAAGGTTTTTTCCAACCTAGTTGATTCTATGATTCTGTGAAAATGGTATCAGAGAGCCTAGATTTTAAAAACTTTTTTGTAAGCAGTAGTGTTTTCTTCTACTTTCAAAACCCTTTTTGTTTTACTTCAGTACAAAAATGATACCTGATGTGGGGTCTTATTTAGAACTTCTGTTTTCAAAGGAAACTGAGGTTTTACTACATGTTCCCTTTGAAGGGCTTGTGACTACATGCCATTTTCTTTGCCTTCACTTTATGCAGTGCTGATTCCCTCTGCTAAAGATGGCTCAGACATGGTCTGTTCTGGCTGCATTTCTCTTGCTGATAAATCTGGTTAAAGTGCCAGGTAAGTATGAAAGAGCGAAAACTACGTGCAGGACACTTTGGTACTCTGTATTTCCAGTTTACCAGTACACTGAAACTTCAGGGGGATTCTTTATTACTGATTAATGTGAATGCAAAGAGTGATGTCACTTCAGCTAGCAAAATAACTGTGTGCCATGCAGAGTAGCACAGGATGATATATCTGATGGGAATCCAGCACAGATCATCTGAAGACCCATCTCCTGTTCAACTGGGACAATATCAGAGTTATGATTTCTAGTAAAAAAGGGATCTACATATGCCCCTTACTAAATTTGCCTCATAAACTACTGCACCAGGTGATCTTGGGTTTTAATCCTGCTACAGTTGTATGTTCCACGGCTATCCCCCTTTTTACTTGCACTTTAACCAAGGTGCTTAATTCAGTAAGACAATAATATTTTTGAAGTAGTTTCCCTTCCCTCAAGGCTGAATCTTGCCTTCCCAATCAGTTTTACAAAGCCCAAGATAGTGATAGAAATTTGTTGCCTAAAAAAGAGATGGAGGACTTGAAGCTCATCAGCATCACAAACCTTCACAGTGTCCGTAATGGAGAGGCATCATCTCCACTGTGTTTCCAGACTTCAGAGTAACAGCAGGAAGCTGGACCTGGAATTTGAATACTACTTATATGTGTCTGCTCAAAGCAATGTGTCCCCAGGGCTGCCAGCACAGTAAAGAAGTAGAAATTCCTAAGTGTGATGAAGCCAAGAGTTTCCTGTCTTTGACAATGGCTGTAGCATCATTTTTGATGCCTTTTCTTCTTAAGCAGCTTACAACATGGTGAATGTGGAGGCTGGTCATGAGGCTGTGTTGAGTTGCCCTTCTGTCTCCAAAGCATCTTTGCTAATGGTGGTATGGAAGATGAAATGCAGCACTTGCTGCTTGTTGTCCTATAGAAGTGATCACAACCAGACAATGAAGTTAAACTGCAGTGAGAGGATGACATGGAAATATTCACCTGACAGTGACCCTGATCTTCGTATTTACCCTGTGAGCCTTGGAGATGAGGGGAATTACACCTGTGAAATCGTCAGCAGCGAGGGGAATTTCCTTTTTTTCTCCTTTCTGACTGTGATAGGTAAGAAACACCTTTGGGGGTGATTTTGGGAGTTTTGTGTGGGTGTATGAAGATAAAAATGATTTGATTTGGTGATAAAAGACCTAAATTAAAAATAGAAGATGTAAGCTGACTTAGTCTGGCTGTATGGAGAAAGGAAAAAAGCTTGAGGAATTACATCTTAGGAGTTGGCTGTTCTATGGAGAATTAATCCAGGGTTTTGTGTTCTGTTTTTTAACTTCTACCTCAGGAAAAGGGAAGGTTTTAAAATGCACAAACCCAAGAGTCTGCAGAGTTTCTAAGGGGGTTCTTTGGGTGTAACATGGGGTTTGAATGTTGCATGAATGTTCATACAACCAGGAGTATACTTTTGGTTAAGCTAATGCAAACAGAAGATATCAAATAAATACTGCTGCTATGTGCTGAGGAAGAGGATGCTGAACCAAGACTCTCATCTGGGTAAGAGCTCAATAGGAAGGAAGCAAAAGTTTCAGGACACTATCTGAAAATATTTCACTCTTCCAGAAATACCGAAAGCTGTCTGTAAGACTGCATCACTAAAATAAAAATTGAATTAATCTATTTTCAACATAGGCAAAAACAAAAGAATATTAGAAACACAATAAATACACCAAATCATCTTTTTAAGATAGGCAGGTAAACTGTGTAGGTTTCCATTAATTAAAAAACCCAAAGCAACCAAAACCAACATAAGAGAAGATTTTGTGTCTGGCCATATTAGTTAAGTCTTCTGAATACAACTAAGAAATCTGGGAAATCAATTCTGGTACTGTATAATTGCTATTATTAATTTTTTGTCACTTGATATACGTATCTTTTTGCAGGGTCTTGCCCTTCTGATACTGTCTTAGGTATTGTCCAAGCCTTGTCCTGTTTTGTCAAATGCAGACTATGAGTTGTTTGACTCCAGGCAGAACAGTTTTGTCCAATTCCTCCTTTATTCCCCTACTATCAAATTCTTGATTCTACTACACAGTCTCCTAAATATCTCAGCTGGAGCTTCGGCAAGATGTGTTTTCTTCAGTATGCACTGCCATACTTACAGATCTTCATTTAATCCACTTCTCTCTGTCATCCTCATCTTCTTCTGTTACTCCTGTAGTCAGCTCTTGGATAACATGGAGAAGTAGTACTATTCAGATTCAGGCAGCTAGTTTTGGAGATATTCACCCTGGATTTTTTGCTGTACTTTTTTCCCCTGAAGATCATTGGTGCTAATATTCCAACTTATTTTAAAATCTCTTGAATTGGTCATGCAAAGTAATAAAAAACCTACCTATTTTTAATTTTCTCAACGGGTGATTTTATACTGAACTGGAAAAAATGGTCTTTTTTTTCTGTCTTCTGTAGTCCCTCCCACAGTGACTCTGACCTTTGACAAGAGCACAGGGGCAGTCTGTCAAGCATCTGCTGGAAAGCCAGCTGCTGACATCTCCTGGATTCCTCCAAATAATGCCAGCACCAGTGAATTCCATCACCCTAATGGGACAGTGACCAGAGTGAGCTGGGTCAACACCACGCTTTCCACTGTCACCTGCCTTGTTACCCACCCAGCTACAAACCAGAGTCTGTTCCTAGACTTGCAATGTAAGTCACATTGCTCTGCATCATTATGCTCCTGGGCTTCATAGTGCTGTTCCATGCAGCTGTTCCCACCAAATGCTAGGGCTCTGCAGATTGTTTAGCGGGGTTATAAGCCAAATTCCTTTTGCATAATGACAGAGAAATTAATAGTTTTGAGTGAGTTTCTGTCCCTTGCTTGCTTCTTTCTTTCCCTGTTATACTTTACAAGAATTCCTTGTTCTTCTTTTAGTGGGTTGACCTTGGCTGGCTGCCTTGGTGAGCTTGGTGCTCACCAAGTTACTCTACCACCCCCCTGCTCAATAAGACAAGGGGAGAAAAATAAGATGAAAAGCTCACGGGTCAAGATAAGGACACAGATTATTCACCCACCAGTTACTGTCACGGGCTAAACAGACTGAACTTAAGGCAATAATTTATTGCCAGTAAAATCAGAGTAGGATTGTGAGAAATAAAAGCAAATCTGAAAGCACCTTCCCCTCACCTCTCCCTTCTTTCTGGGCTCAGCTTCACTCCCAGCTTCTCTGTTCACTCCCCTTGAGTAGTATCGTAGTTTAAGCCCAGATGGTAACTCAGAATCATGCAGCCATTACTCACCCCCTTTCTTCCTCCCCCAGGCGGGATGGGGAAGAGAATCGAAAGAAAATCAATCAACAGGTTGAGATAAGAACAGTTTAATAACTAAAGTAAAATATACTACTACTAAGGGAAATAGCAACAGAGAAAATATAAAACTAAAAGGGGAAACAAAAAAACAACAGTAAGCAGCAGTGATGCCCAATACAATTGCTCACTACCCACTGACCAATACCCAGCCCAACCCGAGCAGTGATTGTTCCTTTCCAGGTAACTCCCCCCAGTTTCTATACTGAGCATGATGTGCTGTGCTATGGAATACCCCTTTGGCTAATTTGGGTCAGGTGTCCTGCCTCTGCTTTCTCCCGGCTTCCTGTGCCCCTCCTCACTGACAGAGCATGAGACTAAAAAGTCCTTGATCAGAGTAAGCGCTACTTGGCAACAACTAAAAACGCTGTGTTATCAGCACTGTTCCCAGACTAAAGCTAAAACACAGCACTGCACCAGCTACTAAGAAGAAAAATAACCATCTGAAAACAGGACAAGTGGCACATTTTTGACTGGCTCAGCAGCAGTTCTGTCTTGGAACCAGTTGACATGGGCTCTGTTGGATATGGGGGCAGCTTCTGGCATTTTCTCACAGAAGCCACCCCTTCAGCCTCTCCGCTGCCAAAATCTTGCCTTGCAAATGTGATACATTGCTTTGGTAACCTTTTTAATCACCAATAGCAGAAAAACTGCTTTCAGCACCCACTGTGATATACCTCACTCATTTTGGTGTGAAGCTTTATACCCCTGAAGTTTAAGTTTGTCCAGGTTCCCACAGTGGTGATGGTCTGGAGAAAAATTCTTTGGACAATGTCTGTCTATGACTTTCAAATTATCTTTCCCAGGGCCAAAGGTAGCACAGGGCAAAATTCTGGCTCCCAGCTGGCAGTGCTGGAACTGTTAGAAATCTTTTCCAGTAGGATTTGTAGGAACAGCTAAATAAGTTCTCATATCACCAAAATATCTCAGTAGAGGCATGAAGGACAGAAGCCAGCATAGACCAGCCATTAATAACAGCATATTGCAGGAGTGGCTTGTCATTTCTATTGTTGCAGGGCTAGTATCATTTGAAGAAGAGGAGACTGTGCAGGCAGATGCGTTGAAAATGAAAGTGTGTTTGTTATGCACAAATGGCTGGGTTTGTGAGGCAGCTTCTTATTGCTGGTTGCCATCCAGACATCTCATTGGTGTCTCTCAGCTCATTTGAGCTGTGGGGGTAGAGGATTAGCTTTCTGCTCTGGGTAAGGAGCTAGTAACATCATGTAGGCAGTCAATACTGACATTTAGCTTTGTAACTAGATATTTTCTTATTTCTCAGATACTTCCCCAAGGCTTGCCTTTTTTCTGCTAGGAGGATTTGCATGTGTTGCTGTTGTCAGTGGTGTGACATTATGCCTATTTTTTATCTGCAGAGGTAAGTCATTTGATGACCCTGAAATGTATTGCAATTTCTTTGTTGACTATATGTGCAGGTACAAGCTGATGTACTTCATTGCTGAGAGTGTGGTGGGAAGCATGGATTGAGGAAAATGTCCACAGATGATGCATTGTCCTTTTGGAAATGTCTGATAAAATAAGGGGTGGAACTTTAAAATGAGTCTGGAGTTTTGTCAGAGTCATAGTTACTATGCTATTAATGCATTATATATATATATGGCAGAGAGCCATCCAGGGTGAAGAAGGATTCTTTCTGAGAGTATGGTAGGGTTTGAGGTTTTAGAATTATTTTGATTGTTCCGCATTTACCCATAGAAAATTCTATGCATAAGAATGACAGTTCACAAACTAATGACTCGACGCAAACAAGCTCTCCGTTTCCATCAGCAGTCATAAGTTTTCCCTTGAGCAAGTGTAATCATCCCTCTGGTACACTCGCAGTTTCTCAAGCTGTATAGGTTTCACAGACACTGGGTCAAGCTCATACTGAGAACTCAGATATTTTTGCTACTCTTGGAGTTGTGTAAGACAGCTGTGATGGGGTATGAATGGAGTAAAAGTCCAAGTGGGGGCTTAAAATGGGAGGAAGTAAGAATAGCAGGCTGAAGGCAAGAGTTTTTTCAGGAGAGCAGGACATGGTATACTGGGAGAAGGCAATGTAAAGGTGGATAAACTGTAAGTAGAGAATATGTTTTTGGGGCAGGTAAAGAGAGGAGAAGACATGCTCAGATGGGTTCCTTAGCCCAGCATGTGCCTGCAGAACTGAGGAAAAAATGTACCTGTGTCAATTCAGTCGTATCTCCCAGGGTGACCAAAAGTTTCAGTGAAGGGAAAAATAAAACAATAGTGCATTCAAGAGCAGGACATAAACCAGTAAGAGCTTAACTCACAAATGTAACTGTATTTTCCATTCCAAACCCGTCTATGATTTTGAAGAAAGTCTTTCAGCAGCTGAGGGCAGCAAGTGGAGAGCTCTAAACATCACAACTGTGTACCTTGCCCCATGAAACCATTTTAATTTACTTATATCCTATTTTCAGCTCTCTGGTTACACAAATTGGCACAGAGGTCGGCAGCACCAGTTGCAGTAAGTGGCCTTTTTTTGTATGTGTTTGTGCTTTGCATTTTTTTATGTATTCTTCACTAAAACATGTAATTTCATTGCAGTGTGCTCTGACAGAGCTCTCATTTATCTCTGTGTGTGCTTGGAGGGGGAAATGAGGAACAGTGTATCTGCGAGAGCGTCTATTGTTTGGATGGTCCTATCTTTATGTATATTCAGAGTATCCAAGTAGTTGTTTAAGCACTAGATTGAGAGTGGTGTAGTGCATTTTCTATCTAAGAAGACTACAAATCACATTTACAATGCTGGTGTTAAAGCTGAATTTTAAATCTCCCAGAAGTTAATGTTTTCACATTTCAGCTTCTCAAAGTAATCTAAACTCTGATGCTTTGCTGAAGAACGTGTATTGGTGCTGATGGCAAACATTTGCCTGGTTAAAGATTGGATGAAAATAGGCACTCATTTTACAATGGTGTATTTCCTTATGCTGTTTTAGAGACAAACACAGCTATGAGACTTTTACTTTTTAAGTTGCAGTTCAAACACTTAGAAGCTAGGAAACAGCAGCAGTGATAAATTTGCCACTGCAGATTTTACTTCCTTTCTTTTTTGTTGTGATACATATTTAGCAGCATGATAATATGCAGCTCTTTCCTCAGGACTTCTGCCTCATTTAATGCATATTGAAATAGCAATTATTTCATATTTTGTTTTCTGCTCACAGTTAAATTAATGGCTGTATGCCTTGTTAGTTGCAAACTAGTCAAGCAGTGCTCTGATGTTAGAGTGATTAATTTCCTGATATCCCCTTCAGTGGCATTCAGGACAACTTGGCTGGTGAGAGTGGGAGTTGCAAAGATCAAAGTCAAAAGCTTCCAGTAATTTTAGGTGCTTAAACTGGATTGCTTGTGGCCTGCCTGCTCTTTTTCAGAGCAGTTAGGATTACAGAACCATATTGCTCATTATTATCTATTTTGCTGAAGATACCAGCATTTCAAAATCTGCTTTCAATTGCATTAAGAAAAAAAAAAAAGATTCAAAATCTGTCCTGTTTAGACTTTGTGAAGGTGGTTGCTGCATCCTTCTGTCAGTTTGGGTTTCACCCTCTGTGGCCTACCCCTTTGCTCACAAAGCTTAGAGAAATAACTTCACAGTTCTTTTGCAGAAGTAATGTTACCTACCAGATCTCTTCTGGTCTTATTTTTTGTTTGGACTCTATAAGTATGATGGTTCCATTAAATTCTACAGTGTAATGCAATGGTACATGTTTTTCTTTACGTTGCAGACTACGAACTTCAGGTCCACACCATCACGGGCGAAAATGGAAGCAGTCAAGCCTCCTGTCTTGTCAGAACATATCTATCAGAATTACAGTTCAAGAACAGTATATATGAACTATTGACAGTGTAGGCACAAGCAGTCTAACACCAGCTCAGCCACTGATGATACTCAGTTACCTGTACTTCAGCTAACAAATCTCAGACCTTACCGCATCGCACACCAGCAGAACACTCAAAACTGCCCCACAAAAGCATTTTTTTCCTGACCTGAAGAAAATGATTTACCTGTTTTAGTAAATTATTTCTCTCTTTCTTAAAGTATCAATACAGCTCTTGAAACACCTGAAACTTTTAAGGACCAAGTTAGTTTAATACCTATCTAAATGTTGTTTGAAAATGGACTCTTGAGGTATGTGCTGCCTTTCCTCAAATTAGTGATTGACATACTGTGCCAGAGGAACAGACTGCTGGTGAAAATACAGCATGTTTCCCATTTTAGCAACTGGATTCTCTTTGTAATTTTGTGTTGGAAACTAGGAAATGACATAGGGATCCCCAAAAATACAGAAGGTCAAAGAAACACATTCAACAGAAATGCAGAAATAAGAGTGTGGTTTTTTATTTCTTTTTTTTCTCCTGGGTATGTAGTGCAGGGTGACACATGGCACCTGACATGTGGCAGCTGAAAATCTGGTATTCATCATCTTTGTTTATTTCTATTTTTTTAAATGTATTTATTTTTCCATTACACTTTCTGTTTTCATTATAATGGAAGAAAAAAAGCCATTTGCATACAGTTCTGGTTTACCCAACATAAGAAGGACAAGGAGCTGTTGGAGCAAGTCCAGAGGTGGCCATGAGGATGATCAGTGTGGCTGGAGCATCTCCTGTATGAAGACAGGCTGAGAAAGTTGGGGCTGTTCAGCCTGGAGAAGAGAAGCTGCTTGGAGACCTCAGAGCTGCTTCCAGTATCTGAAAGGGACTATGGGGATGCTGGACAGGGACTCTTTTGTCTGCTTTTGACAATCACAGTGCACGTGTGTTGTGAGTTGTAGGATGCAAAGCTTTTCATAATTCCTTTGCCCCGAACAAAATGTTGAAGAGTAAGATCTAATAGAGGAAATAGGCAGGGTGATGATGGTGCATGGGGGGAAAGACCTCTGGAGAGGCATCACTGTGATAATTAGCTCTGGTTGAAAAGCATGGCTTCCATGCTCATGGTTTTATTTTCCCCTTTAATTTGTATTTGGTAGAATCAGTCCAGTCACACGCAGTGTATCAGCATTTCCATTAACCCACAAATTCTGAGCAGACTATGCTTGATGTGCTGAAACAACGTGCTCAGGCATTGAGATGGGTCTCTTTCCATGATGCAGGTACTTGTTAAAATGGGCTTTGCTGGAGGTTCCACAGCTCTCAGCAGCCATATGGGACTATGCTCTGCCCAATTTCTTATTACTGGGATGGCCCAAGAGCCAGTCCTGCTGCAACCTCTCAGAAAATTAGCTTACAGCATTGTAGCATGGCTTTGATCATCATGTTTTTACTGTCAGCAAAAAGCTGTAGTTATCAACCCACAGCTCAAGCGAGCCCACATGTTGCAGGCATTAAAAGGCCTCAGCTGCCTAATTGTTGCATCTTCCTTTTGCAATAAAATCAGCCCTTGTGCTTTTCAAGCTGTTGTGTATGATTAATAAAACTTACTAGGCCAAAGAGAACAATGTGGCTAGTGCGGGTGATTGTAAGGAAGGCTGGGACATGAATAATGCTTCTTGGCAGAGCGTAATAATTGAACAAGCTCACTTAATTTTCTGCTCATCTTTTGTGTGTGTTATAATACTGGCACAAGTGGTAGCCAGTTTCATGTAGAGAGTTTGCTTCTTTTTTAACTGTCTGCAATTCACTGGAGCTTTTGATCACAGGAGTATGTATTACATCCGAGCTGCCAAGAGGTGACAACAATTCTAGTGGGCCTCTCACATCTGCTAATAGCATTGTAACAATTCTAGTGGCCTCTCAGGTCTGCTAATAGCATTGTCTTTGAAAGGAAGAAGATAGGATTAACCAAGCAGGAGACCTGCGCATACACTGACAGAGTAAGGGCTTGGTGCTTGGGGTAACAGAGAGATCTGTGAGTTGAATGATTTTGTATGGAAGCAGATAGGAAAATAGAAAAGACTAGAGAAGGGTGTTGACAGAGCACAACAGTAAGACTAAGAGGGCAAGCATGATGTTGGGTTGTCACAGCTTAATTCTTAATAATGTGATTTATTGCTTTTCCATTCACACTGCCTGTCACTGAGTACCTTAACTGCAGATCGTGACTGTGAAGGACAGGCTTTTGTCATACGGGAAGCTCTCAGCATGGGCTTTGATGGATTCCTCTGTGTGCCATCAACAAAGAACAGTGTGTGTCATGTTTCTTGGTCTTATGAGCTGCACACCAAAGGGCTAAAAGCCATGACACACACACCCTGGGGGGCAAGGTGGAAGGAAAGAAAGGCCTGGATGCTGGGGTAGGGTGGGTGCAGGAGCCCTTCCCTTGCTGCCAGAGATGTATTCTCCTGGGCTGGCTGCTGGGAAAGTGCCCATTTCCTATCTGGATTTAACTTCATAGCTGATCTGTTGAGTATTCTGAGAACAAAAAGAAAATCACTTCAGTATTTTCTGTCATGCTGATTTTGGATGGGATAGGCATCTTGGCATGATTCAAAGAATAATCCAGATTATGTATTTGGTCTCTTGGAGGAGGTCTAGAAAATAACCAACTTGAGGATTTTTTGGTTGGTTTTTGTTTTGAGTACATTTACCATTCTTTTTATCCTTAATTGCAAAAACACCTTTGGTGATCTTTCACTGTATTTGCACTGAAAGCAAATTTAAGCAAGGCAAATGTTTAGACTGCAAATTTCCACATATTCTTCCGTGGCCTTGTCAAAATTGCATGGAAAATATTGTTTATTGAATAATTACTTTGAGAGAACGACTAAACAGCAATGGGAGTTTGTTATTTGCACATTCTGACAAAAAATACAATAAAATCAAGGCTGGGAGCATGAGGCCCTGTTGCAATAGCTCTGCCTTACCACTGCTGTTTAAGACTGACTAGTCAAATGCACAGCTGTTTGAATGTCTCGTGCTTTTTAGCACCTCGTGGTTATAGATGAAACCACTACTGTTTATTGTGTGGACTTTCATAATGTTTATAGGGCACTTGGTAATGGTGATGATGTCTGCTTTCTGATTAATCTATGAGCTATTTATGTCCTGAAAATAGCAGGTGTTGTGATGCTGCTGAACAGCTCTTCTTTTTCTGAATACGGAAAAAAAAGTTGACTAAAAGTTATGTTCAGAACCCCACAAATTGGAATGTAACTTCAGATTATGAACAAGATCTGTTTTAAATCCAAATTTTCAACACCAGGACTGAGATGAAGAAGGGAAACAATTTTCTTGCAGACTCCGGAAATGGGGCAAATATCCTAAGGGTATTTGCCAGTTCAGTGAAAAGCTCTGTTTCCTAGATTAGTATTTCTTTTTGCTGTATTTTTTGGTCTAGCCTTCTTTGTCATAGCTTTTCTGCTCTGATGAGAAAACAATATTTTCTTTGGCTCTCCACTAGCAACTATATGGAATATTGTCCTGCTGCTTTTAGTGTCTTTATGGTTTAGTCTTTCTGCCTTTGTGAAGGTTTTTTTTTGTTAATATCTTGTCCTCAGCTACTTGACTTGGTGTCCAATCTGTACGTATGTATGCATCTGTCATAGAATCATCACAGAATCATAGAATATTTTGGGTTGAAGGGACCTTAAAGCTCATCCAGTTCCAACCCCCTGCCACAGACAGGCAAACCTTCCGCTAGAGCAGGTTGCTCCAAGCTCCATCCAACCTGGCCCTGAACACTGCCAGGGATGGGGCAGCCACAGCTTCTCTGGGCAACCTGTGTCAGTGCCTGTCATGCTGGAGACAGTGAAGAGCTCACGATTAAACCAAGAGGGACTTCTACTCTATTTACTATCACTTTGATGTCCTGGAATAGTTTGTATTTGTGCTCTTAATGGTGCTTCTTTAAGCCATTACCTGCTTTTATCTTCTATTTTCTCTGTATTTCCTTAAAGTTATCTCCCCAATCCTCTCATCACTAGTTTTCTCAGTTTATTGAGTTTTATGTTCTCAAAGTGTTTTATTATCCAATTCTCTTTTCTTCTCTTTTTGGAATCAAATTACAATTGTGTTCTCCATTCAATTGTTTTAGTAGGTTCCAGATCCTCTAGAGGAAGTATTTCTTCATATGAGGTTTTGAGAGGTTTGCTTTTTTTCAGGGGGTGGATGAGGGGCGATACCAAAGGTTTCAAAACGTGACCTGTTTTTGGACTTTTTAGTGTTTTTCACTGAACTTGTCCTCAGAGACATGTTTACTCCAGGCTTCCTTGATATTTTTGTTTGTTTTTTTTACCAATACATAATAGAAAATTCATTGCTCTTGACTATAAACTACTCCTGTGCTTCAGCTTCTGCAAATATAAGCTCTCCTACCAAATCCAAATGCGTAATATGCAGCATTTTATTTGTCCTTGGGTGACATTCGCCCTGCATTATTACACAAAACATCATAGCCAGTTTTCTTCCTCTATATTTCACATGCTGCCTTGTACCACCCACAGCAGCAAGAAGATCCAGCTCAAAGAAACATTAATCAGTGAAGCTTTTCACACAGTCTTGGTTATCACTGCTTTTTAGTTAGTTCAGCACAATAAAAATATACCTCTGATACAATATCATGCTTTCTTTGAATGGGACTGTACCTACTCATTGTTAACAACATTGTACATAACCAAGAAACTGTGGACGAAGCTCCACTGTAGAAAGTAGATGCTGTTTTACCTGATCCATCATAATAAGCAAGAATATTTTCAGAGAAAGAGGAGAACCACAAACTCCTTGTTTGTTTGTATTTGTAAAACCTCCCCCTAAGAAGAGTAGAAACAAAAAAGAAAAGAAGGCTTTTTGCTCCACTTTATCCATGTTCTGTCTATTGTCATTATCAAGCTATCACTAAAAATGCTGCTGGGTTTCTCATGTATTTTCTAGTGGTTTAGACTATATTATCAAACCAATTCTCACAGAATTTAGCACACAGTACCCAGAGAAGCCTCTTGGATCTCCTTTTTCAGGCTGGGGCTAGTCTAAATTGGCTTCTGTTTTGATTCCTGATTCCCAGTCTTTTATTCTTCTGTGAAAACTTGTAGTGTTCTCTAGCACTGGTCCTGCTCCCATGCCTTGACAATATTTAATCTGATGCCTGGTGTAGAGAACTCTGGAGCAGAGAGAGATAAGAATAATCCCTTGCTGCATGAGAAAGAATGCAGCAGATTATTCCTTTCATTAGGATCTCCTTGGAGTACCTCACCTGATATTTTGCATTTGCTGCAGTTGGGATTCTTGGTGGCAAAGGACTTGTAAAGCCTGAGCAACTTTTACAGGAGCCTGACGGGTAATTTGCCTTACAGCTGCAGAGGTTGTACCCAAACCTCTGCATCTTGCTCCCTGTCTTAACCCAGGAAGCTTCTGCAAGAACTTTTCAAATCTGTTGTTGACAGCCTCCAGGCAAAACTTTCCATCCCTCTGTCTTCTCTTTGAGCAAGAAATGGTACTGAAGCCATCTCTCAAAGCAAAAGCATCTTGCTTGCAGATAAACCTAAGTATGGGGGGACTACCTAGATAGGGTGTACAGTGCTATAGAACAGTCAAATGTTCAAATGAGAGTGCAGCTCTTCAGAAGTGGGCTGATCATCCTCTTCTTGAGTTGGCTGGAATTACCAGCCTGCCTTAACTTGGGGACCCTGCAGTTCATGGCAGATTTCGTGCTGGAGCTGGGAGCTGCAACCCTGGAGAGGAGCCACACTGGAGCAGTCTGCTCCTGAAGGACTGCACCCCATGGAAGGGACTCACATTGCAGTGGTTCATGAAAGACTGTATCCCATTAGAAGGACCTACACTAGAGCCCAGGAACAGCATGAACAGTGTGAGGAGCAAGTGGCAGAGATTAATGTTATAAATTGGCTTTAACCCCCATTTCCCATCCTCCTGCACTGCTGTGGATGGGGAGTGAGAAGTAAATCTGGAAAGAAGATTGGTTAGGGGAGGAGGTGGTTTTAATTTTGTTTTTAATTCTCACTATCCTACTGGTATCAATTATCAATTTGAAATTAACAAGTAAATTTCAAGTCTGCTTTGCTCATGATACCAACTAGTGAGTGATCTCCCTGTCCTTATCTTGACCCATGAGTCTTTTCATCATATTTTCTCCCCCTGTCCTGCTGAGGAGGGGGAATGAGAGTGTCTGGGTTGGCAACTGGTGGCAGATTGGCCAGACCCACCATGGTCAACTCACCATGCAAGGCTTATTCACTGATAGAGCTATAATACGAAATCGGATGCTGTAAACATAAGACTTTATACTAAAAAGTCATTTTGTGCTGACAATACATCTTTGGATCTTCTGACTTTAATCTTAGCACTCTGTACTGAGCTCTGAAAATTTTGTTTACTCATTCTATTCTCTCAGCGGCCAGTAAGTACCACTGACCAAACAAAGGTAAGTGCGTTTCAGACTGATTTTGTCTGACTGCTGCCACAGTCTAACAGAGCTTCTATCGTCACCGTGTAGTGTTCA